GTGCATCCACGTCTCTACAAATGACCCAATTTCGTTCCTTTTTATGGCTGAGTAATATTCCATTATATATATGTACCACATCTTCTTTATCCTCATCTGTCAATGGGCATTTAGGTTGCTTCCATGACCTGGCTATTGTAAATAGTGCTGCAATGAACATTGGGGTGCATGTGTCTCTTTGAATTATGGTTTTCTCTGGGTATATGCCCAGTAGTGGGATTGCTGGGTCATATGGTAATTGTATTTTTAGTTTTTTTAAGGAACATCCATACTGTTCTCCATAGTGGCTGTATCAATTAACATTCCCAGCAACAGTGCAAGAGGGTTCCCTTTTCTCCACACCCTCTCCAGCATTTGTTGTTTGTAGATTTTCTGATGATGCCCATTCTAACTGGTGTGTGATACCTCATTGTAGTTTTTTTTTTTTTTTCGGTACGTGGGCCTCTCACTGTTGTGGCCTCTCCCATTGCGGAGCATAGGCTCCGGACGCGCAGGCTCAGCAGCCATGGCTTGCAGGCCCAGCCACTCCGCGGCATGTGGGATCTTCCCGGACCGGGGCACGAACCCATGTCCCCTGCATCGGCAGGCGGACTCTCAACCACTGCGCCACCAGGGAAGCCCTCTGCCCATTTTTTGATTGGGTTGTTTGATTTTTTGTTATTGAGTTGTATGAGCTCTTTGTATATTTTGGAAATTAAGCCCTTGTCAATTGCATTGTTAGCAAATATTTTCTCCTATTCTGTAGATTGTCTTTTTGTTTTGTTTATGATTTCCTTTGCTATGTAAAAGCTTATAAATTTGATTAGGTCCCATTTGTTTATTTTTGCTTTTATTTCTGTTGTCTTGGAGACTGACCTAAGAAAACATTAGTATGATTTATGTCAGAGAATGCTTTGCCTATGTTCTCTTCTAGGAGTTCTATGGTGTTGTGTCTTATATTTAAATCTTTAAACCATTTTAAGTTTATTTTTGTGTATGGTGTGAGGGAGTGTTCTAACTTCATTGATTTACATTTGGCTGTCCAGTTTTCCTAACACTGCTTGCTGGTGTTTTCTCCATTGTATATTCTTGCCTTCTTTGTTGATGAGTAATTGAACATAGGTTTGTGGGTTTATTTCTGGGCTCTCTATTCTGTTCCATTGATCCATATGTCTGTTTTTGGGGCAATACTGCACTGTTTTGATTACTATAGCTTTGTAGTATTGTCTGAAGTCTGGGAGCGTTATGCCTTAGGATTGCTTTGGCAATTCTGGGTCTTTTACGGTTCTATATAAATTTTAGGATTATTTGTTCTAGTTCTGTGAAAAATGTTATGGGTAATTTGATAAGGATCACATTAAATCGTAGATTGCCTTGAGTAGTATGGCCATTTTAACAGTGTTAGTTCTTCCAATCTAAGACCATGGGATATCTTTCCATTTCTTTGAATCATCTTCAATTTCCTTTTGTCAATGTTTTGTAGTTCTCAGCATGTAAGTCTTTCACCTCCTTGGTCAGGTTTATTACTAAGGTGTTTTTTTTTTTGATGCACTTTTAAAGGGAATTTTTTTTTTACTTGCCTTTTCCGATATTTCTTTGTTAGTATAAAGAAATGCAACAGATTTCTGTATGTTAATCTTGCATCCTGCTACCTTGCTGAGTTAGTTTATCAGTTCTAGTGGTTTTTGTGTGAGTCTTTAGAGTTTTCTATCTCTAGTATCATGTCATCTGCACCAATGCTCTGTTGAATAGAAGTGGTGAGAGTGGGCATCCTTGTCTTGTTCCAGATTTTAGCAGGAAGTCTTTCAGCTTTTCACCATTGAGTATTATGTTGGCTGTGGTTTTGTCATAAATAGCTTTTATGATGTTGAGATATGTTCCTTCTGTAGTTTTTATCATGAATGGATGTTGAATTTTATCAAATGTTTTTTCTGCACCTATTGAGATGATCATGTGTTTTTTTTTTGTCTTTTGGTGATGTAGTGTATCACATTGATTGATTTTCATATGTTGAACCATCCTTGTGATCCTGGGATGAATCCAACTTGATCACGTGGTTTCAGTTTGCTAATATTTTGTTGAGCATATTAACAGTTTACATATAATTCCGAGGTTTACAGGATGGATATCTGTGCTCCTCGGTTTATAGAGTAAAAGAGGACCTAAAGTAAAGCCCTGAAGAACCTCAAGTTTCATGGGTGGAACAAAGGAAAAAGATCTGGCATAAAAGACTTTGAATGAATTTTATGCTTGGTGTAAAACCAGGTGAATGTGGTGTTAAACAGAAACCAAAGGAAGAGAGGGGTTTTAGAAGAGGGAGTAGTCAGTAGTGGCAAATACCCCTCAGGGGTCAAGTGTGATAAAGAATGAAAAGTGTCCATTGGATGGATTTATTAATTAGGTCCCCAGGGCTTTGGAGAAGCAGTATAGGGGCAATGGTGAGAGTGGAAGCCAAATTGCAGTGGATTGAGGCATTAGTGGATATAAAGAAGTGAAGTCACAAAGTGTAGACAGTGTTTTAAAGTAGTTTAATTATGAAGGAAAAGAGGTAGGATGGTGGCTGGAGTGGGGAGGTATGGGCAAGACTTGAATATGTTTAAATACTGATGAGGCAATCGGTAGAGGAAGTGGAGGGAAAGTTCTTGAGAAAGTGGTGGGTTGGGTATGAGATCCAGAGTACAGGCAGAAGGATGGTGTTAGGAGAGTAGACATTGTAAGTGGAAGGAAGAAAAAACGAATGAGTGTTGAAACAGTACGTTTGTAGGTTTAGTGAGAAGAAGTTGGAGGACTTCCCATATATTTTCTATTTCTCTTAAGTAGGGTGTGCATTTATTTTACATCTTGAATCTTAGGATGGTGGTTAAAAATTATGAATGCCTCGTCAATACTGGAGATTATAATTTGGATTTATGTCTGTGTTGTATATGTATTGATCCTGAGTATTCTGTTCAGTTTATATGATGATAAAAATTTATAGAGGAGTTATTCTTTTTTTTTTTTTCTTAAAACGTTTAATCAGATCCAATTCCAGGTTCTATATGACAACAACACCCACCCTCTTGGTTTTCTCTCTCTTTTTTTTTGGCCACACCACGCGGCATGCAGGATCTTAGTTCCCCAACCAGGGATTGAACCTGTGTCCCCTGCAGTGGAAGCACAAAGTCTTAACTACTGGACCGCCAGGGAAGCCCCTAGGGAAGAGTTCTTCTAAATCAAGTTTCTGATTTGGTACTCCGAGTTATGGCCTTAGCTTTCATGATTGAGTTTTTATGTTTTTAAACTATGACAGGGCCTAAGAGACTCTGACTAGTAAATCAGTATCTTGTGCTTACTTAATAATTTTATTCATTTACTGATGGCATCTGTGTTCAAAATTATTTTTATTTGAACTTTTCAAGTGGTTAATTATATTTAGACTTGTTCCCAAGGTTTATGTTAAATGAATTTTTATACACTAAACTTCCAATAAGTGTAACTAATTGAACAGACCATTTAAACTGTGAGTAGAAGTGGGTAGAAGTTAACCCAACATTACTTTCATAGATATTTTATAAATTAAAATATGAATATATGGAAATTGGTGGTTTCCCTTCACTTGTAACAAGTTTGGATTAAAGAAGTTAATGACTGTATAAACAGTGATTTTTAAATTGACATGCAATTCACATACTGTAAAATTCATCCCTCTAAAGCATGCAATTCAATGGTTTTAATATATTCACAAGGTTGTGCAGCCATCACTGTGTAAGTGATAATTTAATGCAAGGTAATCCAGAGAATGTGGATTTGGGATAGCTATCTCAATTTATTAACTTAATTTTTGGAAGGTATAGTAGATCTCTCTTGTCATTGAGCCAATGTTTCTGTGGAGTTTAGATGGAGAGTAAATAACAGAATGTCATTTTTAAAAAAAATGTCACCAGTATCAATTAAGCTTTGTTTTCTTGTGATCCTCTTCATTATAAAAATATTTTACCCTTAAAAAAATATATATATAAAACCCCCAATTTACATATTTCCTCCTTAGAACTATATTTTTCCCTTGCCACTAAGCTACTCTGAGACTAGATCTTGATGGAAGATAGGAAGTGGTTCTTTATTAGAATACCAGATTTAAAAACTTTCTTGCCCTCAGCTGTTACTGGTGATCATTGCTGAAGTTGCCACCACTGGTTCAACTGTCTTTTGCTAGTCTTTAATCAAAGATTGTGATCATATTTCATACCTTGCTATAGTTAGTGTTTATTTATTATTCACTGGTATTTTCAGTGTTTCGAAATGAAACTTTGACAATGCAGTCTCACCATTTTAATTCTTCCCATGTATTTTTTGTTTCCTTTACAGTACTCTGTGCAAAAAACTTGGTGAAAAAGGATTTTTTCCGTAAGTAAATTAACTTTAAATCTTGTATGTTGTGTGTAGATTCTTTGGAAAGCATTTTCAGAATTGTCTGGTTTAGGGATTTCTCTATTCAGAAATATACTCAATGTTGTTTTATGAATTCTTTGATTCAGAGGCTTTTGGCATCACATGTTTTAAAGACGATTTTGTGCTCCTTAGCCCCTTTCCCTTTATCCACTGCCCCCCCCATATTTGTGTGAAACGTGTGTGTATATGCAGACGAATGTAATGTATATTGAAGGTGTGCATACTACTAGATTTCTAGAAAAGGTTTGAGATTATTTCGTAAGCACTTTTTCCCGTAACATTTTATAGGAAATTTTACCCATGCATTCAGGAGTCATTGGAAGAGAAGTCATTTAGCCTGCTTGGAATTTCCAGAGTATAGGAAAGAAATCTCTGCCACATTTGATCGTAGAATCTCTTATGTCTCAGACTCCAAAACAGACATTTAGTTCACATATTTGCAGTCTCTTTGCCAATGTGTTGTGAAAATTTTTGTGGCTTTATTTAGGATTAAGTTTTGCGAGGGAAGATTGGGAAGTACCACTCACATGTGTGTGTTTACCCTATAATATTATACTTCACATTCGCTTTAAATTATTATGTAAAAATGATATAATTTTTGGACTTCCCTGGTGGCTAAGTGGTTAAGAATCTGCTTGCCAATGTGGGGGTCTCGGGTTTGATCCCTGGCCTGGGAAGATCCCACATGCGGTGGAGCAACTAAGCCCATGTGCCACAACTACTGAGCCTGTGCTCTAGAGCCCCTACAAGCCACAACTACTGAGCCAGCGCGCCACAGCTACTGAAGCCCATGCGCCTAGAGTCCATGCTCCGCAACAAGAGAAGCCATCACAATGAGAAGCTGGTGCACCGCAACAAAGAGTAGACCCTGGGCTTCCCTGGTGGTGCAGTGGGTGAGAGTCCGCCTGCCGATGCAGGGGACGCGGGTTCGTGCCCCGGTCCGGGAAGATCCCACATACCGCAGAGTGGCTGGGCCCGTGAGCCATGGCCGCTGAGCCTGCGTGTCTGGAGCCTGAGCTCCGCAACGGGAGAGGCCACAACAGTGAGAGGCCCCCGCACCAAAAAAAAAAAAAAAAAAAAAGACAGAGTAGACCCTGCTCGCCGCAACTAGAGAAAGCCCGCGTGCAGCAACGAAGACCCAAAACAGCCATAAATAAATAAATACATTAAAAAAGATATGATTTTCAGTAAAACAAAAAAGAGTCCAAGCCAGCAAAATTTTTTTTGAATTTTATTTTTTTATTCAGCAGGTTCTTATTAGTTATCTGTTTTATACATATTAGTGTATATATGTCAATCCCAATCTCCCAGTTCATCACACCACCACCACCCCGCCCCGCCAGTTTCCCCCCTTGGTGTCCATACGTTTTAAGCCAGCAAAATTTGATAAGTAAAATTATTTGAAGTTAGAAATAGAGAAGTTCATTAGATTTTTAGATTCAGGTCCTATCAGCCAGCAAAAACTGGCTATGTATGCTGTCTAATTTAATATCTGACTTAGTTAATTTTCAAGTGTTTGATTAAAAGAAGTAATAAGCTCTTGATATATTTTTAAATCATACTTAATTCATTCCACTTGAAATTTTATTACTTAGTCTTCCTAGAGTAGAACCTGAATTAAAGTTTATAAAATAGCATAAACTATGTAATTGAAAAATTATGCTTATATGGGAAAGCAATTAAATAGGATAGTCCGGGACATAATTAAGCAGTTTTCAGTTTATGTACCATGTGCCTTCTACCCCATAGCATGCCGCAGGAGGAGAGGCCAGTGTGGCCTCTCTCCTTGCTGCCACCAATTAATGTTATCTTCACAGGCTGTTGCTGAACTAGCCACCTCATCCCTGTTGCTAATAACCTAATAGCCAATGTGTACTCCTTTTACCCTCCTTAAGGTTGATCCAAGGTAGGATTTATCCTAGTGGGACTGCAAAGTGGCCAATGGGATTGGATAGGCAGGTGACAAGGAGAAGAGGGAGGGAAGTGAGTAGTGCACACTCTTAGAGCTTCTTCTATACTCCCCAAGACAACTGGTCTGGTTTTAAAGACAAACTCTTCAGTTTTGTCTCCTAGCCTTCCTTCCCAAATTCTTTTCCTTCACCTAGAGTCCCAAGACACACCTTCTCCAATAAAATATCAGATATCCTTGTTTCAGTTTTCCTAAGAAATCTAGAGGAATCTTACTCTAATTCTCTGTAAGCCCCTGAGAGCCGATTATTATCAGTTATATGATCTTTATCTGTCCTTAAGTTGTACGTGAAAAAAAGGAAAGAAGGAAATCTTCCCCTTTTTTTTGTTGTAAGCAGTAAAAATTGATAAAAATTCTTGAGTTGTGAGCTTGCTTCAGGGATAAGAAAACTAGGGGAAATTGTGTGATTATCTTTAAAACTCAGAATGGAAAAAGCACTTGATGACCCTGGAAAGGAAAACAGGAAAGCCAATCCTGAGGCTTTCAGAAGGGACTCAGCCAAGGATGGAATATCCCGCAGGTTCACAGTGGCGGAGGTCCTCCTGCTGTGATAGATTTATATTTATTTTTAATCTGTTTATAAGTTGAGGGTTGCCCACATTAATTTCAGAGAAAGAGTTAAATAATAGTTCCTAAATCCCTTAATCAAATTTGAGTGAGAGTGTGCGTTTATTGATCAGAATGCAGTTATTGATACTGTAATATAGTTGTTTTTGCTTGTAAATCAGTTTAAATCGTGTTGAATGGGAAATGTAAATTTTAATACGAAGCATGACTATAGGCTGACTATATATGTGTGTATATATAAATATATTTAACTATAGAAAAAAATGCAGTGTCATGTGTTGTCTTTTGGAATTTGTATACTTTGAGATAATACTGTTTATTCCAGGGTATCTATCTTTGCTGAGAAAAGTTTTGCTAACGCATTTTTTGGAACTATTTTCAAACTTACTGGCTTTTAAAAACAGAAGTACAGTACATCCCCCTTCCCCCAAAATTTTGGCAGGAAGAACTTCAGACACATAGCAACATATAAGGAATTTTACAGTGAATACCCATCATCTAGATTCTGCCATTAACTTTATCACCTATCTATCCATTTATCCATTATCTGTGTTTTTAAAAGAATGTTTTTATTAGTATCAAATTCTTTCCGTTTTTTATGCAACGTTTAAGTAAAAACTTTGTGTGTAAGGTACTTTGTTAAGGTTTGTATAGGGGCCAAATTGAAGTCAGTGAGCTGCAACATGGTTGGTTGAATGTATTTTTTCTTCCCCAATCAAAAATAGAGCTTTATTTTCTCTGGTAAGTAACTCTTAAGTTGAAATTTTTGTTTCATTATTTGCAGCTCATTAAGTGCATTAGTGTAGTGAGGAAGTTCCTGAGCTTTAGCTATTTTATATGACTCAGAAATGATGGGGAGAATTGAGAAATTTTAAAAAATACAGAAAATACTTTAGCCACTTCATATTTACCGCTAGAGGTCTCACTAACTTCTGAAAACTTGATATCTTTGACTGCACTGGAAGAACTTGGCTCTCAAGTTAAATTCTTGTAGAATAATATAATCAGGTAAGTTGAAACCTAGGTATTTTTTTTTTTAGGGAATAGAGCTTGTATTTTGTATTATTTAACAGAAGGGAAACATAGGAGGATGGGACTTAGACTTTCATACTTAAATAAGGATCTGGAAGCCACACCTAGTGACTTCTGTGTGGAAAATGTTGTTTTTCTCAGCCCTAATTCTCTAACTAGTTAAGCACCATCTAAAGGGAATGCTAGAAATGTGATTTTTGTTTGTTTTTGCTTGCAGACATACATTTATCTGTTTATTTGTTTAGATGGTAGAATCAAAAGAACAAGATAAAATGGATTCCTCCCAGGAGAAAAATACTTAATGTTATTGAAGGTAGAGGGGAAAGTATTCTTCCATTAGACACATCTACAAATGGTTAGGTATTATTGAAATACTAATATGAATAGTGCTAAACTTAGTTAAACAATATAGTTAAATAGATTGCTACGCTAACTTGCCAGGTTTTTTCTTAAATACTTAATACTCTTAAATATTAGTCTTTTCTTACTTATTTGAAGTTGACAGATCACAGAATCATAGAATTGGGAAACTGGCTAGGTGATTTCTGTCTGGCCTTAAATCTTGGCAGATTAGTATCTTGACTTAAAAAAAATTAGCATAGATATATCAAGGTACAAAATTTCTGCAATTATCAACACTTACCAACATTTCATTTTAGTGTCTTCAGCTGTCCCTAGGAAATTTACAGTATCTCAGTATGTCTCACATCTAAACTGTTGTTGTGGTCTCCAATATTTTATTTAGTTCCACCTTCGTCCCCTGACTTTTAAAATTCTACTCATCCTACCGTTCTTCATCCTAGTGTATGAAGCTTACAACAGCTTCTCTGTACCTTTAATCTTTCCTTCTCTGAATACCACTAGTAGACAAATATGACAGTGTATTTACAGCCATGCTCAAGCATCTAAAGTGGCTCCCTGTTCTCTACCTCAGCCATTCCAAGCCTTTATTTTCTGACTTTTAAGCCTCTCTTACTGGATCCGTCTTATCTCTCCAACAGTATTTACTTTTACACCTTAGCACAAATGCTTTGATTAAACCCCTCAAAGTCCTTCAAATATTGTTATACCCTCCTTGGAACGCCTCCTGTTTGTCCTTTAAAGCCCAGATGAGTCCCATCCCCTCAAAAAGGTGGGGGGGAGGGTAGGGGGTGGGGGGCGGGGCAGAAGAAAGCCTTTTTCTATTGTTCACACTCAACTTGTTCTCCTGCTTTTCTGAGCTCTTGTACTCACTGTTGAACTACATAGTAAATGAGAGGTGTGATACAGCATAGTGGTTAAGTGCATGAAATCAAGAACCAGACTGTGTGTGCATGGGTTTAGATTCTAAACTTTAGACCCTGCCTCTGCCACTTACTACTGGGTGACCTCAGGCTAGTTAATTAACCCCTTTGTGCCTCAGTTTCCTCATCACTAAAATGGAATAGTAGTATTTACCCCATGGGGTAATTTTGAAGATTAAGAGATCTAACATATGTAAAGCATTTAGAATAGTGCCTGACATAGTATTATAAGTGCTTTCTTTATAATCAGTATGGTCAAAAACTTGTTTATTCTCAGGAGTTTTTTTTGGTTTTTTGTTTTTAATGTATGGTGTTTCAATTTTCCCAATTAGATAGTATTCTCTTTTAAGGCAGGGTATTAAATTTTTTGTTTCAGTTTCTCATCACTCATGATAGTTAATCATTAAAACTTTTTGGCTAATTTGATATCTCTGTAGCCTGTGTTACTGTGTGAAAGCTTTAATAAGTTCTTTCCTTTAAATGAGCTACTAAGGGAGACCATGGGAAATCTCTAAGAGAGCCAGGGATGTTTTAAGCATTCACCTTTCTGGGGTTAAAGGGCTGGTAAAGATCTATGGTAACTTATACATTATAAAGTAATCTCTAGACTTTGGTAGTTTAAGCTGAGCGTGTTTTGAGATAGGAGCAAGAAAAAATGTAGTTTTTGATATTTAATGTAGAGTTAACTTTAATCTTAGTTTTAAAATGGACCACTTTTCATTTATAGCTTATCGTTAAACTTTTTATGAAGAATGGAATAATCTTTTGTAGCAAATATTAATCTTTATTTAATTAATCTTCCATGTCAAAATATTCTTTAATTAAAAAAGAACCCTCCCTTTTTTCCCCACAGGGCTTCCTGATCCATTTGCTAAGGTGGTGGTTGATGGATCTGGGCAGTGCCATTCTACAGATACTGTGAAGAATACACTTGATCCAAAATGGAATCAGCATTATGACCTGTAGGTTTAAACGATTTATTTGAAATGAAACATGGAATCACTGTTATTTGATATAGTCTTTGAAAAGAATCACTGAATATGATCTGCATTTGATCTGTGGTGTAATTTGGTCCTCACAGAGGGATGCAAAACCTAGTGTGAAAGTACTTTGGCTTATTGATAGCTGGTTTTGGAAGGTGAGCTATGCTTAATAAGCCCATGAAGAACAAAATGGATACACAGTATAGAGCAACCCCCCCACACACCTTTTTTTCAATCAAATAAAGGTATTAATTCACTTTAGGTCAGTTATAAGTATAAATCAGAAATCATAATTGGAGTACACTCATAGGCATTCTTTTTGTTTCTTATATGGATGGTTTCTTCTACATTTTATTTTAATCATAGTAGCATATGTACTGTTTTTACAAAAGCAGATGATACTGTAGGTCTTTTAATGGGAAAATGCAGTTAACTGTCCCATTCTTACTCCTGATTCCAATTCTCAGGGTAACTGTTTTCAATACCTTTGGCTGTTTGTTCTAGAATTTTCTTCTGCTTCTAGATATCATGCTTATTTATAGCATTTAATATAAATATATATTTATTTCGTGTTAGGTATTATTTTTACATTTTCTACCATAGAAAATGATTTAGCTTTTTACAGCTGCTATCTCTCATCCCATTCCTACAACATCCACATGACCCTTTCCTTCTCCCAGTCCTCCTGTATAGTTATTTGAACCTTTTCGGTTACATCATTGTTCTGTGTTTATGCTATTATGATCATGTAAATATTCATAACTGAGTCACGTGGTGTGCAGTGATTACGTTTTCTTTCTTGACAACTTCTGTTTTTATGAAATTAATGACTGTCTAACTTTGCCATTTGTTTAGTTTTCCATCTCATTAAGAAATTCACAAACTCTCTTACAGTACTGAACGTCTCCTCTGCTTATTTATGTTCACCACATGAAATAGTCTGTTGGCTTTGTTTTCTTCTTGGAGATAGCCCTCCTAGAGCTTCTATGCTTTACTTCAGTCTGGACTGGTAGTTCTCTAAGACCTTCTGCACAGTTGTCCTGGAACTTGCCTTTATCATTATGTTGGGAATTTCGTTTCTCTCTTCTAAGTCCAACTACTTCTTTTTTTTCTGTTTACTTCCCTGTTTTTTTTTTTTTTTAAGATGTTGGGGATAGGAGTTTATTAATTAATTAATTTATTTTTGCTGTGTTGGGTCTTCGTTTCTGTGCGAGGGCTTTCTCTACTTGTGGCAAGCGGGGGCCACTCTTCATCGCGGTACGTGGGCCTCTCACTATTGCGGCCTCTCTTGTTGTGGAGCACAGGCTCCAGACCTGCAGGCTCAGTAGTTGTGGCTCACGGGCCTAGTTGCTCCGTGGCATGTGGGATCTTCCCAGACCAGGGCTCGAACCCGTGTCCTCTGCATTAGCAGGCAGATTCTCAACCACTGCACTACCAGAGAAGCCCCTACTTCCCTGTTTTGGTGAAGTATGTCTTCCATTGTTATCTTGAGGAAGAGTACAAAGATGGGGAAAATTTCTTTGAGATTATGTCTGAAGATATATTTTGTCTTCTTACTTGGTTGATGGTTTGTCTGAGTATAGACTTCTAGGTGAGACATCACTTTCCCTTCAAATTTTGAATACATTACTCCACTGTCTTCTAGGTCTAGATCAGCACTGCTGAATAGAAATACAATGTGAGCCACAAATGGGAGCTTATCTGTAATTTTAAATTTTCTAGTAGCCACATTAAAAAAAGTAAAAAACAGATGAAATTAAACTTAATATATGTTTTATTTATCTAAAATATCTTCATTTCAACATGATATCAAAATAAAATAATCGAGTTGTTTGTTTTTTGTTTATTTTATACAAAGTCTTTGAGGGACTTCCCTGGCGGTTCAGTGGTTAAGGCTCCGCGCTTCCACTTCAGGGGCACAGGTTCAATTCCTTGTCGGGGAACTATCTCGCATGCTGCGTGGTGCGGCCTTTAAAAAAAAAACCCAAAAAACAACGAAGTCTTTGAACTGAGGAGTTTGTTTTGCATTAACAGAGTGCCTCAGTTTGGGCTAGTTATATTTCAGGTACTCAGTAGCCACATGTGCCTTGTGACTACCATTTTGGACATCGCAAGTTTAGAGTATTGCTGATGGCATCCTGATTTTGGTCCTTCATGATTTTTGTTTTCCACTGGAAGATTTCAGGGTATGCTGTTTTTGCCTGATGTTAAATTTTTTAATGATGGACTTGGTATATCTGAAATATAGTACTAGATACTGTGACTTTAATCTGGATACTTAAACTCCTTAGTTATGAGAAACTTTTCTATTTAATCATCTATAGATGATTTCCTCTTCTCCGTTGTATTTCTTTCTCTCTTTTACTTTTTCGAGAACTCCTGTTATTTGGATGTTATCCCTCCTGAATTGATCATCATTTGGTGTCCTATCTTTTTTCTCTCATATTTTATCTTAGTTAAAAAAAAAAGTTATAATAAAAAATTTTTGTTCTAGTAAAAAATTTAAAACTACCATGAAATATTTGGGCTGTTTTCCCAACTTTGTTTTCTAGCATTCCTATTTATTGTAATTTCTGCTCTCAAATTTTAAATTTCCAATATCATTTTGCTTTCTGACTGTTCCTTTTTCATAACTTACTCTTATTCCTAGACGCAATGTCTTCTCTGATGAGAGAAGTATTATAATTGTAGTGTTTTTCTGTTGTATTGCCTCTCTTTTCTCAGATTTCCTTTTTTTTCTGTTAGTTTGGTTTGGATTTCTGTCTTTTTATATTTAAGGGGAGGCACTTAAATGTTGATTGGAAACTCTCTACCCATGGGTAGAGCTGATCAGCTTGGTAGGGTAATCAGGAGTAACTGTGACATTTTCTGCACAGAATTCTCCCTCTCCTTCCTGGGGGCTGTATTCCTGGATGCTTGTGTTCATGGATCTGAACGGCATAGGGATGCTAGGGGGTCTCTCCATTCACTAGATTAACCTCTTCTTAATACCCTGTTTTTATTACAGAATTTCACCTCCTCCCTCAGCTGTGCCTAGTGTCCCTGAGTGCTGCCACGTTTTGAGGATGAATTAGGTTGGGGAAAGGATTCAGGAGGTCTTTCCATTCCATTTATTTATTTTATTTTTTTATTTTTTAAATTGAGGTGTAGTTGATTTACACTTTCCATTCCTTTTAAATACTTTGACTTATCATTCTGTTTCAGCCTCATCATCACCATCGGAGTATATTGGGCTTACAGTTTGGGAATATTTCGGGGCTTGGTGGCAGTAATAATCTTGTTTCAGGGAGTCTATTGCTCCTTGCAGGCTTAGGTTTCAGTTTTCTACAGGTTGCTAATTCAGTTATCATATGCTCTTTAAACTTCTCCCGTTTTGTGAACATCTCCCAGGTTATAAACATGTTAAATGTCCTGATATCCTGACTTTACAAGTGTTTAGCCTTTTAAGCTTCACAGTCATTCTATTTCATGCTTCATCAACATCAGCTTTTCTTCCAAATGTTCCACTTGTCTTTACCTACTGTCTATGTAGCTAAGCTTTTGAGTTCTTAATCAGATTCTTTCTTTTCTTTTCTTATTTTGGCCGTGCTGCGCAGCTTGCGGGATGTTAGTTCCCTGACCAGGGATCGAACCCGTGCCCCCTGCAGTGGCAGCAGAGTCCTAACCACTGGACCACCAGGGAATTCCCTTGATCAGATTATTTAAAGCCATTTCTTTTAGCTTCAATCAGATCTAAATTCAGCCAGGGACCCAGCTACAACAGTGAACAAGACATAGTCCTCCAAGCTTACAGCCACGTGGTATATAAAGACAAGAAATAGGAAAGTATAAACAGTGTGATGAGAATCTGTATAGCGTGCTGTGGAAATACATAGAACTTCTTGACACAGATTTAGGAGCTGGGGAGAGCTTCCTAGAAAAAGTGGCATTTAGGCTTATACCTTAAATAGGAGTTAACTTGAGGATGGAGAAGGTGGGAAGGCTCTAAGCAAAAGCTGTCTGTGTGAAGACCCAGAGGTGAAAGACAACGTGATTCTGAAAACAGTTCAGAGAGGCAGCATTGGTAAGTTCACATGTAAGGTAAGGGGAGTGTGGTAAAAGACAAGCAGTGAGAGGCAAGCAGGAGCCAGCTCATGAAGGTCCTTGAAAGCCTATTAATAAGTTTGAATACTCTCTTAAAAGCAGTAGGGAGCAATGAAAGTGTTTTAAGTGGGGAAATGCTATTATCAGATTTATATCCAAGAGTGGACACTTTGGCTGTAATGTGAAGAATGGCTTAGAGGGAGCCAAGAATGGCAAAGAAACTAGTTCCAAGATTATGAAGGAAGCTGTCAAATAGAAAATAACTTTATGTTAGAAAAGCGATAAAGTGAATGGAGAGATACAGGCATTGTAAGTATTTTTAATTTGGCCTTCAAACTTAAAAAAATTTTTTTCCTTGGGGGGAAAAAAGTGAAATTGTACTAAACCCTGTGCTTTGCTGGATTTGGCTTACAGGCTGTGGTTTTCCTGTGGACCCCCTCCTTAGAGTCCTTGCTTTTCTAGCTTTGCTGCTGCTACAGTCTTTCTCAACACAGCAGCTAGAATGATCCTGTCAAAACGTATATCAAATCTGGTTACTCTCCTGTTCCACATCCTCTATTGGCTTCCTGTCTTACTTAGAGTAAAAGTCAGAGTTCATACTATGGCTGACAAGGCCCTTTATGATTTGTCCCTTGTGTTGGTTAGATATAATAGACTGATATAACAGACAACCCCACATTTTCAGTGGTTTAGTACAACAGAAGTATATTTTGTATATAAGGTCCATTTGGCAGGGAAGCAAGACACTGTCACACAGTCATTCAAGGATACAGGCTGACAGAAGCTCCCTTGTCTTCAGTGTATGTTCCCAAGGTGTCTCTGGGCTTTGACATCCAGCCTCCCAAAAGGACGCTTAAGCCATTGGTGGGTGGGCTGCTCTAAGGCCTCAGGGAACCAGTATTTTAGCATACCTGTATATCAGGCTTATCAGTTGGGAAACTGATTTAGTGTGATTTTTTTTTTTAAATGTTTGGTTTGGGGCAATTTAGCTGGTTAATACTTGATTCTGATTCTAGAATTTTTACATATCATGCAGGTACATACTTGCCAAGTTAAGTCTATTTAGGTCTATTTGAAAATTGATACATGCATACTGAATGTTATTTTAGTCCAGATTTTTTCATTTGCAAGCAACAGAAATGAAATTCAAATTGGCTTAATTTTTGAAAAGTATTAGCTTGCATAATTAAACATATACACACTACTATATATAAAATAATCAACAAGGACCTACTGTGTAGCATAGGGAACTCTACTCAGTATTCTATAATAACCTATATGGGAAAAGAATCTGAAAAAGAATAGATATATGTATATGTATAACTGAATCACTTTGTGTACACCTGAAACTAACACAACATTGTAAATCAACTATACTCCAATATAAAATAAACATTAAATTAAAAAAAAGTATTAGCTTGCATAATTAAAAGTCTAGAAGGGTAGGCATGCTTTAACACAGCTGGATCCAGGGCCTCAAGTGTGCCTTTCACGTTACTCATTTAAAAGTTTTAGGGCTTCCCTGGTGGCGCAGTGGTTAAGAATCCGCCTGCCAATGCAGGGGACACGGGTTTGAGCCCTGGTCCGGGAAGATCCCACATGCCGCGGAGCAACTAAGGCCGTGCACCACAACTACTGAGCCTGCACTCTAGAGCCCGCGAGCCACAACTGCTGAAGCCCGCGCGCCTAGAGCCCATGCTCCACAACAAGAGAAGCCACCACAATGAGAAGCCTGTGCCCCGCAACAAAGAGTAGCCCCCACTCACTGCAACTAGAGAAAGCCTGTGTGCAGAAGCGAAGACCCAGTGTAGCCAAAAATTAAATAAATGAATAAATAAATAAATTTATTTTTAAAAAGTTTTAGTCCTTACTTAAGTGGTCTAGGCTTTTTTATATACCAGGTGAATTTTTCTGATATTACTGCTTTATTGAATGACAGTTTAAGGTCAAGGTTGCTGGACCAAAAATTTGACCTCTTAGAGTCATTGAAATTTAGGGTTCTACTGATATAATTATGTTATTTTATTATATTTTCGCATGGGATGACACCATGTTAACAATTGGCTGTGGTAGAGCTTCTCCATACTTACAGGTATATGCACAGACAAGTAATAGTAACGCTTTCCCCTGCTCTGCTTGTCTGCAGGCAGTGAAGTGAAATCTGCAAGAGTCCTGCTCGCTCAAGGCCTGCATACAGGAGAGAAGCAGGGGAAAAGCGTTACAATCAGCTTTTGTTCTACAGCATTTTAAAACATAACAGGTATGTCAGATTTTTGGTCTGTCAGCCTTGACAATGCCTCTTGAAAATGAACTGAGTATTCGCTGAGGTACTAGGTCATGTCATTGAAGTGTATTTAAAATGTGACTGTGAAAAAAAAAAAATGTGACTGTGATAAAAGTTTTTCTAAGATTTTTGTTTTTGGAAAGAAATAATCATAAACTTCCATAGGGTTATTTGATACTAGCCACTAAAATAGTTTTTTTTTTTTTTTTTTACTAACAAAAATTGTTACTCAGTCTGAGAGTGGCAGGTATGATAAAGAATATATTAAAAATTCTTTTTAGATTTTACTTTAGAATTAAAAAAAACAATTAAATTCAGTCCTGTGGATAGACTGAATTCAAACATATTTTGCGTTATCTAGCCATACTCAAACATTTGTGACTTTAGACTACAAAAACAAAAAAATTTTATACTAACTACTCATAATTGCCAAGTTACTCATGCAGTCATTTTGTTTTATATAGGTATATTGGAAAGTCTGATTCAGTTACGATCAGTGTATGGAATCACAAGAAGATCCATAAAAAACAAGGTGCTGGATTTCTTGGTTGTGTTCGTCTTCTTTCCAATGCCATCAACCGCCTCAAAGACACTGGTTGTGAGTAGATACTAGTGCTTTTAAAAATTTAAATATACATATTTAAATATATATATGTATGTGTATTTTTTGATGGGGGAGGCAGGGGTCTAAAAACTTAATTTCCTGTGTGTGTTTGAAACATTGGTAAAAATTTCTGGTCTAAATTTACTTTGTTGACTTTTTAAAAAGAATGAAACATTTTAAATATGTGGAACCTAGAAATGAATCAGAGCTGATACTTAGTATCCAGTGAATTTATAAGTGCTAAGAAATGACTGATATCCAGAAGAATAAAAAGAGGGATTCCCTGGCGGTCCAGTGGTTTAGGAGTCTGTGCTCTCACTGCCTCGGACCCGGGTTCAATTCCTGGTCAGGGAACTAAGATTCCACAAGCCATGCAGTGTGATGCGGCCAAAAAAAAAAAAAGTAAAAAGGTGTCAAAGTATTAAATGTCTTTTTTATTACTTAGCACTCATCTCTGGTTTAGGTGGATTTGTGAGATAAAGGGAGTTTTATTTAGGTCATTGGAGTGTTTAATGTAACGGTTAAAGGGGAATTATTAGTGAATAAAAATGACATATAAAACTGCTCTGAAAAATTAAAAGTTATAAAGGTAAGACATTATTTTGAGTGTAAGACAGCTGTATTAACTGCTTAACTGTAGCTTAATTTTTCACCAAACTGGTCATTTACAAGATTAGACCAAGATCAAGACATTAGAAGCAATTTCTATATTGGGTTGACAAGTTGACTTGTTAGTGTATGTGTAATTCATGTAACCAGATGACAGAGCATCTTTTTGGGGGTATTTCCATTGGGACATAGATGGAAATATCTTTTTCAACAGAAAATTTTTTTCTTTTTCTACAGAATTCTTTTTTATATAATATAAAAAATATTGCTAGCTGTTGTCATGGGATTGTAGTCCAGATGCCTACAAAAAGCAAAAATTCACATGGACTCCAGCTAAGGAAATTAATAAATAAAAATAGTTTGAATTTAGCTTTGAATGTTAGATATATAATATTAAGAGATGATCCCTTTTAATGTAGTATGATAGCACAACCCAGTTATAAAATATTACTGTTAAAAAGTAAAAAGGAGAAAATTGAGCTAGAAGTTCTGAGGGGAATTTAAAGGCACCGGAGAATTTCTTATATTTCTGGGTTGACAGGGTGACCAACAGGAGGTAGAAGATGTTGGGATTGGAAAAGGTCTAGCATATAAAAAACGAACCATTTTTGGGACTTCCCCAGTGGTCTAGTGGTTAAGACTCTGCCTTCCAATGCAGAGGGCATGGGTTTGATCCCTGGTCAGGGAACTAAGTTCCCACATGCTGTACAGTGCAGCCAAAAAAACCCAAAAAACAAACAAAATGAACCATGTTATTCTAACCCAATGCAGCAGGCAAACTGAAGACTTGTTGTATGTATGACCTTATTTCTGGTTCAATTTAGCCAACATTTATTGAACCTTTTAAGTGTCAGGTACTGTTTGAAACCCCAGTGATAGAAAGGTGAAAAAGGCATGAATCCTGTCCTCTGAGAAGCAAGGGCAAAGGCCTGCTGGCAGAGGGAGCAGGACACGTTAGAAGGAGTGAACAGAAGAGGCATTGCTCTGCACAAGTCCACTGTGTAGCTGTCTTATTAGTGTCCATTTATTTTGCAAAGGGAAAAATAAGCTAGGTGGGGCACAGATTTTCTTTCTGCTGCTTGTGAATGTTTCATTGCAGTAATTTATATGACCTTTTTGATGTATAGTAATATTTAATTTATTAAGCACCTGGTGTAGTTCCATTCTATCAGGTTGGAGTGGAGAATATAAAAACTTAAGATATGGTCTCCTCCTTTTATCAATTCGTGATTTACTTAAGTAGACAGATGGTATACAGCTATAAAGAGAATTCAGTTATAAGTGCTGTAATCAAAGTGAAACCAACATGCAGTGGGTGACATTGTTCCTTACTGTAACTAACCAGGCCAGTGTTATATCTGTTTTATAGATGATGCATGAGAGAAGAAGTGAGCTGCTTCTAAATGAGTTAGTACCAGAACTCAAACCCTTATGTTAGTTTATACTTGGCTTCTTATTAATACTTACTTTGTGTGTGTGGGAGTTATGTGAAATGGTTAGATAAAAAATAACAATGACAACTAACATTTATTGGACACTTATGTGCTAGGTACTGTGCTAAGAGTTTTATATAACCATCTGATTTAATCCTTAATAGGAGGTAAGTACTACAATTATACACGAGAAAATCAAGACTTGGGGATAAATTGCTTAAGAACAAAACTATTAAGTGGCAAGCTAAGACTTAGACTGAAGTGTTCTGAAATCTTTGGAGAGAAAATACTGCATGTTGGCACCAGCGTCTTATGGTTTTTGAAATCTGAATTTGTCAAAACTTTTGTCAAGGCATTTATACTAATATTATGTATGCAGTTAGAGAATTTTAAACATTTGTCTCATCATTAAAACTTGATTAATTCTTTAAATGATTGGTCTGATTTCCAGTGGATTGTAGAAATTTACTATCACTCTGTAGATGTGAGAATCTCTGATACCAACTTATTTTTTGCCTTTTGCTGTTGTTGATTTGAAATAGATCAGAGGTTGGATCTATGCAAACTTGGGCCAAATGACAATGATACAGTTAGAGGACAGATAGTAGGTAAGTGTGGAATTGAAAGTTATGTGAATTTTGGCTTTATTTAAGCTGACCTAAACTCTAAATACCTTTAAAATCAAAGTACAGTAACTGTAGCTTCATTGTATTGGCATGAATTAAATGAGTCATGTAAAATTATTCAAATAGTGGATGCAGAATCTAGGACAACTTAATTTTTTAAAAAAGCAAAAAAATACAAATAATGTAAAAAATAGGCTCCTAATGTGAAGAACTCTTGATCCTTTAGGAAGGAATTCTTTCAAAGTATACAAATATAGTAGAACACGAGATAGACTTTATAGATGATACTAAGGTTTTCTGAAAGTAATTCTCAAACTGGTTTTTGAGTAAGAAAAACCAGTTTAATGCTTTGCAGTTTTAAAGTAATCTTTACTAATTGAAAAAAATAGAATGGTAGTGTAGCACTGATTGGAGAAAGGGAAAAATTGTTACCTTACTCATAAGGCATTTAGTGGGCTAGTGGGGTTATCTTGAATTGGCCCCTTTATATAAAATTTCCTGAGACTTATCTTAAGAATTGATAGATTGAGATTTGATCAAGATACCTAGAATGGTAGGGCACTGAGGTGGGCTCCTTTGAAGCTTCTTAAAGAAGTAACAGGCAATTGGAACCTTACCATTGCATTATAGAGCAGAATTTAGAATAACATGATTGCATTATATGAACCTATCAGAGAGGTTTTAGTTACAGGAAGGACTTGAAGGACTTAGCTTTACAAGGCAATGAATTAGGTTCATAGAGAGTTGCCAAAGTAGCATCATAACAAAAGCCCTATTCTGGTTATCGCAGGGAAATATCTACACTACAGCGTTATTCATAATTCCTGTCATTCTTAGATTGAGAAGGAAGTTAAAAACTCAAAAATGTGGAATACACAAATATACCTTTCATGTGTTACGCCTCTTTTTAAGTGCACTAGTGGCCTTGCGTTGCCCCATTAGGATGGGAAAAAAGGAGTTAGATTCTCCTCCATGAACATGATAAAGTGTAGAAAACCTTAAAGAGAAAAATCTCATGGACAGAGAAATTGCAGGGGCTTCCCTGGTGGCGCAGTGGTTAAGAATCTGCCTGCCAGTGCGGGGGACACGGGTTTGAGCCCTGGTCTGGGAAGATCACACATGCTGTAGAGCAGCTGTGCCCGTGCGCCACAGCTACTGAGCCTGCGCTCTAGAGCCCGCGAGCCACAACTACTGAAGCCTGTGCGCCTAGAGCCTGTGCTCCGCAACAAGAGAAGCTGCCATAGTGAGAAGCCCGCTCACTGCAATGAAGAGTAGCCACTGCTTGCCGCAACTAGAGAAAGCCTGCGTGCAGCAACGAAGACCCGACACAGCCAAAAAGAAATAAATTAAAAAAAAAATTTCAGAATTTAGTAGAAACTAAAGAGTTCGTTCTTAAGTATTAAAATAAGCGAAGACAGGTGTCTTTCAAAGAGAAATATTTTAAATTGCAGTAACTCTTTCTAGTTCTGTGACTCTTAGTAATGTTTTTGTTGTTTAATAGTAAGTCTTCAGTCCAGAGACCGAATAGGCACAGGAGGACAAGTTGTGGACTGCAGTCGTTTGTTTGATAATGATTTACCAGATGGGTAAGCAAAAATCATTAGGTAATATCCCTAAAATAATGAGAAATACGTTGGTGTTTATATTTAAGTTTAGAAATTTGCTGATCAATTCCAAAATCTAGGTTTTCCTTGTACTTAGAAAATTAGTGAGGGATCTTATCACAACAAATTCGTAAAATAAGCCATGAATTAGATATGTTACATTTGTTTTTTAAGAGTTTTGACTAGGAGACAAATTTCTTGACAAATTTAAATCTCCTGTAAATATTATATATTCAAAATGAAAACTTTTTTGATTGATTTAATTATTCAAAACAAGGCATGCTGAATCTGAGGCATTGCTCTATTTAGAGGGATGAGATACAGAATTTGTGTAATAGTAATTACAATAACATAGTAACATTTATTGAGCCTGCAAGTGTCAAATAGTGTTATAAGCACATTATATCATTTATCATTACATATATATCATTACATGATATTCATTAGATCATTTAATTCTCATAATGTGATTCTGGAATTAGACCATTTGGGTTCCAATCCTTACTCTTCTGTTTACTAGCTTTATGAGTTTAATCAATTTATTTGACTTTTGTAAGCTTTGGTTTATATTTATTTATCAAAGAGGATAATGATAATAGTATATACGCCATCAGTACTTGTGAGGATTAAATGAAATCATTCATGTAAAGCACATAGCACAATGTCTTGCATAGACTGCTTAATAAATAATTAGCAAAAAAAAAATAATTAGCTATTACTACTACTACTGTTACTACTATTATTACCCTCATGCATTTTACAGACTTACAAAACTGAGACTCAGAGAGGTTAAGTATTTTGCCAGAGGCCACATAGAAATGGCAGAACTGGAACACAGATTTAAGCCTTGATTCCAAAGCTTATGCTTTTTATCATTGCTCTCTATCTTTGTTTCATACTAGTTCTGAAACCTTACCGATTTTATTTTTAATTCTTAAAGTATTTTTAATTAACTTCAGTGAGGTATACTTTACATACAATAAACTATATCCATTTTAAGTGTATAATTGGTTGAGTTTTAAGTTATTTTTGACATGAAATTTCAAATCTAAGCTATGGTATTTGCTCATTTTGTGTAAGCTGTTAAAAATTGCTATAATTTGTTTATAGATCATTTTAGCTTCTTGATATATCTTAATTTTTATGGATTTGAGGTGGATTATGGTACTTTTGAAGGGGAAGTTTAGGATGAAATAACTAGTCAGTATTGAGAGATTACAACAGTTGTATGGCTTATTCTAAATTTGTTCTACATTATTGTACTATAATTGTAATCACAGGGGTAAAAACCTGTTTAGCATCTTTTTATTTTCTATTGTTTAAGGCCTCCAAACCTCTGCCAGTGGTTTGGTGGAATATTAACATAACATAGTCACTCGCCTAATTTTTTTGTTATATGAATTAATAAGATATTGAAGAAGAAGTGGCATTATTGCTTTTTAAAAAATTAGTTTGAGAAATAGCCTGTGTTGGTGAGGTTGTGGAGAAAAAGGAGCGCTTGTACAGTGTAGGTGGGAATATAATCAGTACAGCCACTGTGGAAAATGGTAGGGAGGTTCTTCAGAAAGTTAAAAACGGAATTACCATATGATCCAGCTATCCCACTTCTGGGTATGTATCCTAAGAAAATGAAAACACTAATTCAAAGAGGTATATGCACCCCTTTGTTCATTGCAGGATTATTTACAATAGATAAGATACGGAAGATAGATAAGATAGGGAAGCAGCCTAAGTGTCCATTAATAGATGAATGGATAAAGAAGATGTATTACACACACACACACACACACACACACACACACACACACACACACAGGAATATTGCTCAGCCATAAAAAATAAGTTCTTGTCATTTGCAACAACATGGATGGATCTAGAGAGTATTATGCTAAATGAAATAAGTCAGACAAAGACAGATACCATATGATTTCACTTATATGTGGAATCTAAAAAATAAAGCAAACAAACAAAACAGAAACAGACTCATAGATACAAAGAACAAACTCTGTATTGGTTTGCCAGAGGGGAGGGAGAGGAGGGGAAATTGATGAAATAGGTGAAGGGGATTAAGAGGTACAAACTTTCAGTCATAAAATAAGTCACGGGGATGTGATGTACAGCATAGGGAATATAGTCCATATTGTAATAACTTTGTATGGTGACAGATGGTTCCTAGACTTGGTGATCATTTTGTAGTGTATAGATGTCAAACTACTGTGTTGTATACCTGAAACTAATATAATATTGTATGTCAACTATACTTAAAAAAATTCATAACTTTTAGTAGAACATATGTAAGAGAAAATAAAAATATGAAGATTAAAAAAATTAGTTTGGGTAAGCTAAATGCTTTAAAAAGCTTTTATATACTTTTCTAGTTAAATTTAATTTTTTAAAATTATGTATAATTTTTATTTTTAGTATGGCCTTTTTTCCCCCATTAAATTCTGGAGAAATTAGTATAATTTAATTGAGCATTGTTGACATCATTGAAAAATTCTCATTTTGGCTGATGGAAAATATTAGTCACACCTCAGTATAAATATTTTAAAAGCTTCAGAATTCTAGAAGACATATTGTACAGTTCTAAAATAAGTTGAAACAATTCCTATATTCTGTGTATTGCTTTTTCAATTTGTCATTCCTGATTCATAACAGCAAATGTCTTCCTGGCTTGTTCCAAAAACATTCTATGTCTGGCTTCCTATTACTGCTTTATCTCTCAATATTTTTATTTAAGCTGGGAAGAAAGGCGAACTGCCTCTGGAAGAATCCAGTACCTAAACCACATAACAAGAACTACGCAATGGGAACGCCCAACACGGTAAGAACATACAAGTATCTTCCCATGGTCTATGCTGTTTGCCCTCCTGAAGTCCCCTATCTTTTATCTGTCAGTTTTACCAGATTTCCTTTCTTGGTTTAAACTGCTCTAGATCAGTAGATCTTATAGCAAATGCCATTATTATTATTATTATTATTAATTTTGGGGGGGGGGCGGTACGCAGGTCTCTCACTGTTGTGGCCTCTCCCGTTGCGGAGCACAGGCTCCGGATGCGCAGACTCAGCGACCATGGCTCACGGGCCCAGCCGCTGCGCGGCATATGGGATCTTCCCGGACCGGGGCACGAACCCATGTCCCCTGTATCGGCAGGGGGACTCTCAACCACTGCGCCACCAGGGAAGCCCTGCCATTATTATTTTTAATAAAGGTTGCTTAGCAGGTCATCCTGTAGCTCCATGGCCTGTGATGGTGTTCAGTAAATATTTATTAGATGAGTTAAATGAATACATTGAGAAGTCATCTTATTTCTAGGACTCTTAAAAATTTTTTTTGAGTCCATTATTGAACGGCTGTAACAAAATATGTATACAGGATCTCCATTTATTCAATAATGTCGGGGGATGATTATATTGTGTCCAGTAAGGTCTTTGACCAAGATAAGAACCAGATGCTCTGAGACCATATGGAGGGGCACCTGACTTAGAGTTGGGGGCAAGATGGTAGAACTTGCGAAGGAAAACTGAAGGAGGAGAGTCTCTGAACTAAATCCTGAAGAATATGAGGATTTAGCCAGGTAAGGGGAAGGTGATAAAAAGTGTTCAGGGTAGTGGTAACAGCTATCATTCAGTTCACCAAATTGTTATATGCCAGGCACTGTGCACAGCATTTGGGCTATAACCATGAATAAGGCAGAAAGGCCTTCCTGGAGCTTAATGTGTAAAGTCATGGGGATGCAAGATAAGTTTTGAAAGCTTCAAGGAAAGCTCTGTAAGTAACTGAAAATGAATAGGATAAGTGGCTGGATTTCCTTTTTTTTTCAGAATAAGAAAAAAGTTTATTTGCCACCTCTACTCAGTGTTTGTTTTGCTCCTTCTACTTTTTTTTTTTTTCCCTGAGCAGGCCTGGCACCAGACATAGAACATCAAATGCTTCTCATTAGCTATACTTTTATTTATTGGGGATTGATTGCTTAACTCATTGAACCACAAAGTTTTCTCTATTATACTGTGATTCTCAGATGAAAGCTTAGCTTATGTTGCCATTTTAAAAAGTGCTTATTTGAGAGTTGATTTCTAGTATTAAACTGCCAAGGATTATATGGAAGTCAAAGAACCTATTTTTATCACATCTGAGTGTAAATAAATGTGTACTTGTGTCAGTGCTTTAGTGAAGTCTATTTCCTTCTCATTTAACTGATAAAATTGACTTTAATTTCCACATGTATAAAGTCGATTGTGTTGTAAATGTTAGTTTAAAAATTAACTCTTAATTATCCTCTTAGTTTGGATGACCTACAAGAGACTGGAAGCTCTTTGAAGAGACAGACTATCTTTCCTTTATTCACTCAATATTTATTGAACTACTTACTATTCTTAAATATATGCTAAGCACTACTCTAGGTGCAGGGAATACATACGGTGGGGAACAAACTAGGCAGACTTTCTTCTCTCAGTAAATATTCTAGTGGGGGAAGACAGATGAAAACAAGGATGCAAATGAGAAAAATATCAGAAGTAACTGCCATGCTGAGGAAGTAAGGTGAGGTACTGTCAAATGCCTGGGTGACTACTGTAGATCTGAAGGTCAGGAACGACCTCTCAGAGGCAACATTTAAGCTTAAACTAAGATTTGAATGACAAAAAAGAGTCTGGCCTAGGGAAAATAGGAGAAAAAATCACTCTAGGTAGAAGGAAGGGCTACTCTCCAGCACTAAAGGTAGAACGACCATGGCAAGCTTGAGGAGGAGGAAGAATGTCAGTGTGGCAGAGGCAGAGTGGGAGAATGGTGGGGACACAGGTCTGAGGTTGCCTGTGGCTAAGCCAAGTAAGGCTTGGTGAGCTCATACTCACATCTACAAATATATGCGGATTTCATATGAAATGTAATTAAAATCAATATAAAGTGATTTGAATACGTAATTGACAATCTGCTTATCACCTGGGTTTCTTTGGTGCTTTGAGGCTTTGGGTTTGCTTTTATTGAGAGTTCTTGAGTCATTATATTTATATTAATCATTCCGTTTTCTTACAAGTGATTGTTACTGCTGTACATACATTGTCTATAAAATTCTGCTTTTGGTATCTGAGTTGAGTAACTTTTTTTCCTTGTTTCTTTTCGATAGACCAGCATCTGAATATTCTAGTCCTGGCAGACCTCTTAGCTGTTTTGTTGATGAGAACACTCCAATTAGTGGAACGAACGGTGCAACATCTGGACAGTCTTCAGATCCCAGACTGGCAGAGAGGAGAGTCAGGTCACAACGACATAGAAATTACATGAGCAGGACACATTTACATACTCCTCCAGACCTACCAGAAGGCTATGGTATGACAACTAGCAGAGGAAAAATAAAGTGTGTTTTACTGATTTCAGCTTGCTAAGAAGCCAGAAAACCAACTTTTAAAGAAGTTATTAATCTGGGTTTAGGAATTCTGCATGAAAATCAAAGTAAATGTAAAACTCCCCAACTTTGAAAAGTCTTTGAAGTGGTAGAAGACTAACAACACTTTGACTTTGGGCTAGTCGCTTAACCTTAAGCTTTTTGCCCAATTACAATGAAATGAGATGAATGATACCTCTCCTTTTCACAAAGGTATTGTGAGAAGCATATGAAACAATGTGAGACTGCTTTGTAAACAGGCACTGTAAAAAGTGAGACGGTGTTTTTCTTGATAATGGCAATCTGAAGTCAGACTTGTAATTTTCTAGACGTGCATATTTAGAAATAATTTAAAAAGCATATTTCTGATGGTATTTTTATATTTGTATTTGTATTGTCTATAATTTTGTGTTATCTGAGTGATTGGGTTATTGTAAATGATTTAGTCACTTCTGTGTTTGTGTAAAAGTACTATAATCTTATATAATTTCCTGAATTTTAGAATTCCATGTGAAAGACGACATGAATCTTCTCATAGTTGAATACAGAACTTCCTAAACTCTTGTAGTATGACCTCAGCTGTTCTCTCCTCTCTTGCTAAAAGCTTAACCAAGTTACTTAACACCCTTGCCCTTTCCACAGCCTCTAGATAAACAGTTCTGGGCTGATGATGACACCTAGTGACCAACATTGGGAGTTGCCTGATCTAACTTGTATTTTATTTTTACTCTGGAATGTTTTTTAAACTTACACAAATGCATCATTCTTACTTTATTTTTTAAGTATTTTAACTATTTAATTTTTTAAAAAACCCAATTTTTCCATTAATTGAGCTAGGCCACACAGGCTAACTTAAAGCACAGTGGTTAGAGCATGGGCTTGGGAAACAGATGGGTTCATATCCTGGCTTTGCTATATAGTAGTTGTGTGACGCTGGGCACATTAACCTGTTTGAGCCTCAGTTTTATCTTCTATACTATAAAGTGGGGAAAATATTATTACCAACCATGTAGATTTGTTGCAAGAAATAAATGAAATTTCATGAGAAGTTAAAATTTAACTTATTATTAATGTCCAGACCTTAGAATCAAGTATCTCCTGGCATTCTTTTTAATTGAGATTATAAGGCAAGTGGTTTGGAGTGGGGGTGGTTAATACTTTATACTTTTACAATATTTGTGTGATTTGGATTAAAAAAATTTTTTTTGTACAACCAAAAACATAGGAGTAAAGTGGGTATCAAGGCTGAAATTATTGCAGCTGTCATCTAGAACCAGTTTTAAACATTTTTACATTTATAATTTTAAAAGTTTAAATTGATTTTTATTACAGGTTTATAAACAAATTTATACTAATAAATATTAGCAATAGTTTTATTGTTTCATATATTGGAATTTTTCATTAGATTTTGTTTTTTAAAAAAAAAGGTAGTTCTGTTGCTTGAAAACATAAGTAAATAAAGACTACAGACCACCACCGAAGAAACCGTTTCACAGATTCCTTCTCTTTGCCCTGGCCTCCTCACTCTCTCCCCAAGGGCTTTGACTTAATCTTGCCTGCGGCTTTTTTTCCCCAGTAGGCATATGTGCTCTTTAGTCTTCCTGCTCCTAACTTGATTATTTTTCCGTCATTGCTTCTTTTAGTCTATAGGGTGTCTCTTCTATATTCCATCTTTTTTGCTTCTGTTTGAGTCCAAATGTAGTCTTGAGAATACACCTCTCTCAAGGAAAGAAAAAACATAAGTTTTGATATAAAATTAGGCATAATTTAAAAAAGCATTACCAACCTGCAAACTTTTTGAAAGTTTCTGCAAATCCCTGAGAATCTCCCCAGAGTTGGTTAGCCTCTTCCTCTGAGCCCTTCTGTTTCCCTTAGGCTCCACATTTAAGACAAATAAAAGATAATTTCTTCATGTTTGTTTTATTTAATTATTGGTACTGTGACCATCTTGTTTTCTATTTTCCATTGCAACATGTTTAATATTTGAGCCACATTATAAGTGTAGTTGGCTTTTAAATAGCTGGGCTGTGACCCTCACCACCATTTATAAGACTGTTTCCAGGAGAAAATGTGTTCTGAGTTCAGAACAAGTGATTTGTAAAGCAGTTCTTTTGTAATAAAATTGATTGGTAATTTGGAGAGTTTACCTATTAATATAACATCATCCTAGTGTTTATAGCTGGTTTTGATTTGGACATTCTGAATATGTTTTTATTATTAGTGTTTCTTAATTTTACAGAACAGAGGACAACACAACAAGGTCAGGTGTATTTCTTACATACTCAGACTGGTGTGAGCACATGGCATGATCCAAGAGTGCCTAGGTAAGAACATATTCTAAATACCCTTCATACCACTGAATATCCATTTCACCTAGGATTTATTTGATTATTTAATCTTTAACTTCTTAAAATAGATGATGTAAAAGTTTGGCTCTTTCTGATCAAAAGTTTGACATTTAGTAGAAAGTCCTACTTACTTCTCTGCAACCCTACCCCAGTGCCGTACCACCCAACCAGTCTCCAGTTCCTCTCCCCCTCCTCCTTAAAAAAATTGAGGCAAAAATGTGGGCCTTGTAGGAATTTGAAAATTAACCTAGGGAAAACATACATACCCTTACAAAAACATACATACCCTTTTTTTTTAAGGGTAGTAAATTGATATTTTTCTTTCTGGTTAGGCTTTTTTAAAAAAGGTTTGTTTATTTTAACTTTATATAAGTGTATTCAATCTTCAAGTTTCATTTTAATGTAGAAAAGGAATAACCCAGTTAACATAAATTACTTCTAAATGCCAAAATTTGTATGTTTGAATTGCAGGCCTTGTTGAATGCATTTACTAACCAAAATGTCAGCTGTCTTTTAACTTTAAGAAGATGGAATGACACAAAATCAATTTAGTAGTTTAACACAGTTTCTGGTACATTTTAGTATCAAATAATACATTTTAAACCACTAGCTATTTTGAATTATTTTCTACTGAACAGATGGAGAGTGCCAAGTAGTCCAGTTGAAGCTGCAAAAAAAGGTTGAGTTCTAAGTGAAATTCTAAATCAACTTTATAAGCTATACATATACCTTTGTTGGATGAGAATATTTTATATATTAAGTGCAACATTCCTCTCTTCAAAAAAAAAAAGTCCTATGGAGGGTCAAGAGATCTTTTTCTGCCTAAAGTTTGTACTCAGAGCTCTACTTGTCTAGAATCATGTTTTTGAATTAAAAACAGTTGTGACTAACTGATTTTGGATTGCTTTAATACTCTGTTTATTTATAAATAAAGCTATTATAATGAAAATGTTTTCCTTTTTTTCTTTTGGTCGCGCTTTGCGGCTTATGGGATCTTAGTTCCCTGACCAGGGATTGAACCTGGGCCCCGGCAGTGAAAGCACCGAGTCCTAACCACTGGACTGCCAGGGAATTCCCAAAATATTTTACTTTGTGATAGAGCTTAATCAGAATCTTTTGAGGGTGGCAGCCAAGGAAATGTGTTATCATTAATTATTGTATGAAGGTTGCCATTTCTGTGTCTTCATGATATAGCTGTTGATTTAAAAAAAAAATAGTGGGGAGGAAATTTTTGTTTTATTAATAAATAAGCTCACTGAAAACAATCTAAGTTGCCTCACTTTTAGAAATAAGAGTTTTGATATGTAAATTATGAAGTGTTTTGGGTTCTGTTTATCATGTTGAAGGTCAGTAACAAACTTTTCTATAACATAATTTAAAATCATTGGAAGGAAATGTTTAGAAGAAAAATGATTTTTTAAAAATACTGAATGATTTACAATGGAGTGAAAGCTGATCTTGAGCTGCCTTTTTTTTCCCAGTACGCGGGCCTCTCACTGCCGCAGCCTCTCCCGCTGCAGAGCGCAGGCTCCGGACGTGCAGGCTCAGCGGCCATGGCTTATGGGCCCAGCCGCTCCGCAGCACGTGGGATCTTCCCGGACTGGGGCGTGAACCCGGTCCCCTACATTGGCAGGCAGACTCTCAACCACTGCGCCACCAGGGAAGCCCTTGAGCTGCCTTTTGAAAGAGTGGTGTGTAAGCTGGAGTTGGAAGTTGAAACAGAGAGATTTTGGCACCACAGTGGGCAGTGTGTTCTTACTCCTAAGGAAACAATGTTGGTTTTTCATTAATGAATAAGGGGTTTCTATAAAGATTTAAGAATATTTCATATTGAGTATTGAATAATGACTTTATGAAATAACGCTTTGGATTATATTTCTTTTCTTTAGTCTCTATGCTCCAAATTGTTATCTTAAAATATATTTTGTTTTGGGGGATCCTTTAGTGAATATGTCTTTTGTATGGAGGATCTTTTATCAAAGCAGACTATAAATATTTAGATTCTATTAAAATATCATTACTGTTCAATCAAAGACATTTATAAAATAGTGTCACTCAGACACTTTAAAACTAACTTTATGTAAAGATATCCAGTAAACTTAGATTTATCTGAGAAGCACCATTTTAGAATGTTTTGTATTTCTCTTTAAAATAATGATTAATGCTTTGTTACTCACTGTATTGCATACTGACTATGTAGTCTTAAAATACAGATCTGTATTACTTTTTATGGCTGTGTAACATACCATTTTCCTTTAATCATTTCCCAGTTCCACATAAAGAGTGTTTCCAGTTTTCTGCTTCTCCTCAATTCTTTAGAGCCCTCCCATGTATGACTATAAATTTATAAAATTCTAAATAAAATGATATAAAGTGAAATTCTGCATTACATCAAAAACATTATTCATTCTTTGATTATAAAGAATGATAATTGTTTTTCATTTCTAAAAGTTCCATTTAGAAAAAAATCTATCTGTTCATTCTTAATCTCTCAGTGATAGTTTATCTTTGTAATTGTTCCCTTTTATTATTTGTTTTAAACATTGCATATCATAGCTATTCTTTTTGATCTCTGACAGTACTTGGGGATCTAATTCTGTGGTTTTGTTTCTACTGACTCAGTAATCATGAATTCCTTTCTGAAGTGTTTGGTGATCTTTGATTGTGAGTTTGATTTCAATTGGTTGGAGTTCTGTGGACCTAAAGTGAGAATTTAGGAATTTTTTCTGGAATCACTTCATCTTCCCTTTGAGTTCTCCATGGGGAAGTTCCAGATTTCCTTTTCCAACCTTGCTGCTGGCCTGAGGCTGAGTTTCCCAATTAACCACTACCCTCTGGCAGCCCCCCACTCTGCCTGTCTGCCACTCAGGTACCAGCTCCAGTTTAATTCACTTAAAACAAATTTGAGGAGGACTCTTGGAACTTTTTCCCTTACCTCTTTTGAGACTAGCAGTGTCTCAGAATAGTGTGTTCTTTCCAGTCTTTAGTTCTGTAGCAGAAGAATCTCTGGGGCACCTATAAGCACAAGTTAAAAATCATTGTTCCAACAAATCTCTGGGTGCCCATCATTACGTTTTCATTATGACCAAGAAGAGGTTATTTCAGGAAAACTTTTTTTCTAGTTTAACTTTGAAAACATAATTTTGATGAGATTTGTCATTGTAATTATTGGTTACAGTTTAAATTTATATTAGACATGCTTTTTTTTCATTCTTTAAGGTTCTGTAAATCTTTGTCATATATAATAGTATATATATATATTTTTTGTGGTACGCGGGCCTCTCACTGTTGTGGCCTCTCCCATTGTGGAGCATAGGCTCTGGACGCGCAGGCCCAGCGGCCATGGCCCACGGGCCCAGCCACTCTGCAGCATGTGGGATCCTCCCGGACCGGGGCATGAACCCGTGTCCCCTGCATCCTGCATCGGCAGGCGGACTCTCAACCACTGCACCACCAGGGGAGCCCTTATAGTAGTATTTTAAGAATGCATGATATAGTAACAGTGGTCTTTGCCCCAAAAAGCAAAAAGTCTTTTTGCTTTTTTTATTGTAGCAGTAAACCTTAGAACATTCTTCCTAAGGTGTCTTAAACAGGTTCTTCATTCACTAGCTTTATATCTTTCAGAATTCAAAATGGAGTAGTTATCCTTTAAAATATATACTGTGGTTATTTTCAGGATCACAATTTCAATAACATTTCCAGTTTTGCTTTGTTGAAGAGCTTAAAATTAATCATGGAATGAACGTTTACACAGATTTTATGGTGTAGTAAAGAAAGAAATAATTGAAGGGAAATTTTAGAAAACATTTAATTCCTTATATCACTGACATTTGGAAAACAATATTTTGTCAGACAAGTATTGAAGTACAGTTTATGTTGGCAAATGTTGTGATTGCTTTTATATTAATTTAAAACCTGAATTACATTAAAACCCAGGAATGAACTCACTAAAAATGTAGGCTGTGTGATAAGTTTCTGAGCCATCTATGGATTGGGTTTTGAATATGCAAGTTTGTTAAACCATTGGGAATTAAAGATTCCAGCTGAACGTCTCAAGTTTCTGAAACAATACATTTTCTCAGACTTCATGGAATTGTTCTGTGTCATTTACACTTGCTTGGCTCAGCAGGCCCAGCAGTGAAGTATTTTTTATTTTATATTTGTTTTTGCAGGGATCTTAGCAACATCAATTGTGAAGAGCTTGGTCCATTGCCTCCTGGATGGGAGATCCGGAATACAGCAACAGGCAGAGTTTATTTCGTTGACCATAACAACAGAACAACACAGTTTACAGATCCTCGGCTCTCTGCTAACTTGCATTTAGTTTTAAAGTAAGTTTTTGAAACAATACATGTTCAAATGCGAGTCTGAACAAGAGAAGACTGATAGATGCTTTTTGTAATAAATGTGATAGAATGTCTGCTCTCTTCAATTATAAATCACTTTTTGAACATAATTTTATATAAGAATATGACAAATTTAACTCTCATGTTTGGGTATTTTAATCCCACTGTACTTAAGTAGGAACCTGTCCTGAAATGTTAGGAAAAGGGTGTGTATCAGAGGTGCACCGTAGCACACCTGCAGAGACAGGCTACTTTATGGAGTGGATGGATTTTTTTCCTTGAGTGCATCAGAAATAGCTCTAGGATAGCTGAATCTATCCCAGAGGATTTTCTGATGTGTCAGTTTTGTGCTTCAGCTTTAAGGCTTCTTTCCCATTTGCAGGACTTAGACAGTCATTCTTACAAGTCTTTGTGAATGGGCTTGATGTACCCTGGGTTTTTTTTTAATTATTAAAATACAGTTGATTTACAATACTGTGTCAGTTTCAGGTATATAGCAAAGTGATTCAGTTTGCTATATACATATGTAATATATATATATTTCAGATTATTTTACATTTTAGTTTATTACAAGATATTGAATATAGTTCCCTGTGTTCTATAGTAAATCCTTGTTACTTATCTATTTTATGTATAGTAGTTTGTATCTGTTAATCCCATACTACTAATTTATCCCTCCCCACCCTCCCTTTCCCCTTTGGTAACCATAACTTTGTTTCCTACGTCTGTGAGTCTGTTTCTGTTTTGTATATAGATTCATTTGTATTATATTTTAGATTCCACATGTAAGTGATACCATAGTATTTGTCTTTCTCTCTCTGGCTTACTGTACTTAGTATGATAATCTCTAGGTCCATCCATGTTGCTGCAAATGGCAATATTTCATTCTGTTTTTATGGCTGAGTGATATTTTAGAGAGAGAGAGAGTGTGTGTGTGTGTGTGTGTGTGTGTGTGTGTGTGTGTGTGTATGTACTTGGGTTGCTTCCATGTCTTAGCTGTTATAAATAGTGCTGCTATGAACATTGGGGTGCATGTATCTTTTCAAATTAGAGTTTTCATATTTTCCAGATATATGCCCAGGAGTGGGATTGCTAGATCATATGATAGCTCCATTTTTAGTTTTTTCAGGACCCTCCATACTGTTTTCCATAGTGGCTACACCAATTTACATTCCCACGAACAGTGTAGGAGGGTTCCCTTTTCTTCACACTCTCTCCAGCATTTATTAATGTAGACTTTTTGATGAACTGTGGGTTTAAAAAAAAAAAGTCAGCTTTATTAAAATTTAATTGACACAATAAATTGTACATATTTACAGTGTACAGTTTAGTTTTGACATATTATATAACTGTGAAACCATCACCATAATGGAGATAGTGAACATATCCATCACCCCCGAAAGTCTCCTCCTGCCTCTTTGTAGCCTGTTGGTAGTCCCTCCTCCCATCCCTTCCCTAGTTTCCTAAGGCTGCCGTAACAAAATATCACACACTGGGTGGTTTATAACAATAGAAATTTATTCTTTTATAGTTCTGGAGGCTAGAATTCAGAATCAAGTTGTCAGAAGGGTTGGTTCCTTCTGGTGGCTCTGAAGGAAAATCTGTTCCATGCCTCTCTCCTAGCTTCTGGTGGTTGCCAGAAACTTTACTGTTCCTTGACTTGTGGACACATTATCCCAGTCTTTACCTTTGTCTTCACGTGGCCTTCTATGATCTATTTTATCCACAAAACTTCTGCCACCAAGTGTGTGGGTTTTTTCCTCAAATATTCCAATTGTCCACGTCTGCAGACGCCATCGAGGTGTACAGCGCCGGAATTCAGTCTAATACCACCTCCAGTTAGTATCAGGCCTCACAGGTTAAGGGCTCAGTCTCACAAGACTGTTCTCACTTCTGATGCCATTTATAAGTCCCAGGCCTCCCGTATTTCTTGCCAACTGGCTATAAATCGAGTTCTCATGACTTTCTCCTTGGGTTCAATAATTTTCTAGAATGGCTCACAGAACTCAGGGAAATTATTTCTTTACTATTACCAGTTTATTATAAAGGATGCAACTCAGGAACAGCCACATGGAAGAGAGGCACAAGGCAAGGTATGGGGCAGGGGCTGCATAGTGCGTCCACGCCCTCTCCAGGCGCTTCATCCTCCGAGCACCCTCAGTGTGCTCACCATCCAGAAGCTTTCTGAACACTTGTTTAGGCGTTTTTATGGAGTTGTTATCACACAGGAGTGATCGATTATTAACTCAATCTCCAGTTCCTCTCCCCTTCCCCAGAGGCTGGGGGGATGTGCCTGAAAGTTCTAGGCTTCTAATCAAGCTTTGGTCTTTCTGGTGACCAGCCCCCATCCTGAAATTATATAGGGGCCTAGCAAGTCACCTCACTGAAACAAAAAATGCTCCAATACCCAGGAAATTCAAAGGGATTCAGGAGCTTCTGTATCTTGTACTGGGGACAAAGACCAAATATTAGAACAGAATACACTCCTGTCACCTGTGTCACTCAGGAAATTTCAAGCGTTTTAGGAGTTCTGTGTCAAGAACTGGGGACAGAGACCAAAGTATATTTCTTATTATGCCACACTTTCTTTCCTGTATGTCTGGGTCGAAATTTACGTCTTCTTATAAGGATACCAATTTATTGGATTTAGAGCCACCCTAATCCAGTGTGACCTCATTTAACTTGATTACATCTGCAAAGACCCTATTTCCAAATAAGGTCACATCCACAGGTGCCAAGGCTTAGTTAGGACTTCAACATATTTTTTTGGACACAGTTCAATCCACACCCCATCTTCAGCCAACCATTGATTTGCTTTTTCTGTCACTATACATTTGCAGTTTTTAGAGTTTCAGATGAGTGGATTCATACAGCATGTACTCTTTGCTTGGTTTCTTTTACCCAGCCTAATTATTTGAGATTCATCTCTGTTGTTGTATGTATAGTTCATTCTTTTCCTTGCTGGGTGGTATTCCATTGTATGGATAGACCTCAATTTATTTGTTTACCTGTTGATGAACATTTGGATTGTTTCAGTTTGGGCCATGACTAAACTGTTACGAACATTCGTGTGGGTTTTTTTATTTTTGGCCACACTGTGTGGCATGTGGGATCTTAGTTCCCCGACCAGGGATCGAACCCGCGCCCCCTGCATTGGAAGTGCAGAGTCTTAACCACTGGATCGCCAGGGAAGTCCAGGAACATTTATGTTTAAGTCTTTGTGTGGACATATGCTCTCACTTCTCTTTGATAAATAAATACCCAGGCTGCACAATATGATAGATTTATGTTTAACTTTTTAAACTGCCAGATTGCTTTTTGAAGTGATTGTACCATTTGACTTTCCTACTAGAAGTGTATGAGAGTTGTAGCTGCTCTTGCTAACACTTGGTATGGTTAATCTTAATTTTGGACATTCTAATAGATGTGTAGTGTTATCTCATTGTTTTTTGGGGTGGGGCGGTCTGTGTTGGGTCTTCGTTGACAGGCTTTCTCTGGTTGCGGCGAGCAGGGGCTACTCTTCGTTGTGGTGTGTGGGCTTCATTGCGGTGACTTCTCTTGTTGCGGAGCATGGGCTCTAGGCACGCGGGCTTCAGTAGTTGCGGCACGTGGGCCCTAGGGCGTGTGGGCTTCAGTAGTTGATGCACGCGGGCTCAGTAGCTGTGGCTCGCGGGCTCTAGAGCGCAGGCTCAGTAGTTGTGGCGCACGGGCTTAGTTGCTCCGCGGCATGTGGGATCTTCCCAGACCAGGGATCGAACCTGTGTCCCCTGCATTGGCAGGTGGATTCTTAACCACTGTGCCACCAAGGAAGTCCCTCATTATAGTTTTAATTTACATTTCTCTAATGACTAATGATGTTGAGCATCTTTTCATGTGCTTATTTCCATCCGTATATCTTCTTCGGTGAAATTTTTTGCCTCCTTTTTTTAAAAAAACTGAGTTGTTTGGGTTTTTTTGACTTTCGAGTTTTGAGAATTCTTTAGATATTTGAAATACAAGTTTTATGTCAGCTGTATGCTTTAGAAAGATTTTCTCCTAGACCATGATTTGTCTTTTCATTTTCTTAACAGTGTCTTTTGAAGAGCATAAGGTTTCTTTGAAATTTCAATGAAGTTCATTTTATCCATTTGTTCTTTTATGAATTGTGCTTTGGGGATCATATTTAAGAAATTTTTGCGTAACATGAGTCATAAAACTTTTCTAGTGTTTCAGAAGTTTTATGGCTTTAGGTTTTACATTGAAGTCTCTGATCTACTTTGAATTAAAGTTTTGTATCTTTAAGTTGGTATACCCAAGTTTTTTTTTGTTTTTGGATAGGATTAATACAGTTGTTTAGAGAGTATTTTTAATATATTCTGTTTTGATTTATATATGTGTGTGTGTATTAAAAAACACCTTTATTACAACGTTTTATGAGAGTAGTAAATGGCGATTTGTAATTTTCATCAAAGCTGCATTTTCTCTGGATAGTTACACGTTCTAGGATAAAATTTGGCCTGGTACATAAAAGAGTCACTGTATGTAAAGTAAGTTTGGGTGATTTGTTAGAGAACTGAAAGTTATTTTTGTTTATTTTCTCATAGCTACCATTGCCCTTTATCTTTAGGTTAGGAGATTGTACTCTTGTGTCTGTTGTGTGTAAAATTAAATTCCAGGGACTTCCCTGGTGGCGCACTGGTTGAGGGTCCACCTGCCAATTCAGGGGACACGGGTTCGAGCCCTGGTCATGGAGGACCCCACATGCCATGGAGTAACTAAGCCCGTGCGCCACAACTACTGAGCCTGCGCTCTAGACCCCGCATGCCACAACTACTGAAGCCCGCGCGCCTAAAGCCTGTGCTCCACAACAAGAGAAGCCACTGCAATGAGAAGCCTGCGTGCGGAGGCGAGGAGAAGTCCCTGCTCGCCACAACTAGAGAAAGCCTTGCGCACAGCAACGGAGACCCAACGCAGCCAAAAAAAAAAAAAAAAAATTAAATTCCAACAGAGTCACTCAATGTTTGCATAGATATCAATAGTGAATTATCTGACTTTTTACTTCCTGACGGTTTATTGGAATTAACTAGTTCATTATATCATAAGATTCTTTTAAAAAATTCTTAGATGCAACTTATATTATTTTTGCCAGGAGAATAAAAATAAGTCTAGGCAATGTGCCTTTAAAAATTATTATTATATTTCTGCTGTACTTGGGAGATTATTTTAGTGTATTTGTGGTAAACCATATATGTGCAGTTAGAAGTCACTTTAGCACAACAGACAATGTGATTGTACTGAATGCCACTGACTATAATACTTAAAAATGGTTAAAATGGTAAATTTTATGCTACGTATATTTTACCACAATAAAAAGACAAGTAGGGACTTCCCTGGTGGTCCAGTGGTTAAGACTCCACACTTCCATTGCACGGGGCACGGTTTCGATCCCTGGTCGGGGAACTAAGATTCCGTATGCCGTGCAGCGTGGCCAAAAGAAAAGAAAGAAAAGTAGGCACTTTATAAAGCGTTTAGACTTGTTTGTGAAGTGCTCATTTCTCTGTGCCAGTAACTTGCTGTGACCTCCCACATTCTTGTGGTCTAGACTGTAGTGTGCATAGGAGAAGGGGTCCCTGCCAAGCTGCCAGTTCAAACTGTCTCTTCCAGAGAGACAGACTCTAGATAACAGGCACAGGGTTTGGCCTATGCCTGAATTTTAAAGGGAGAGATGGTAAACTACGCAGAAGAAAATGGAAACGGTATTTGGGAAAGTTGTTCTCAGCAGTTGTATAAAAGTTTTTTTGAATAAAACTCTGTTATCCACTTCTGTAAGTTCCAAGAAATAAACTTTGGAGCTAGTTTATTGTTGTCAAAAATGTCAAGATAAGAATATAATAAGGCCTAGAAATGCTATAGGTAGACTTGGTTTAGTGTAGGATGCTATTTTAAATGTGTAATTGCAATCTCTCTTGTTTAAAATACTTCAATAATATTTGTTTACTTTTAGTCGGCAGAACCAATTGAAAGACCAGCAACAGCAGGTGGTATCGTTGTGCCCTGATGACACAGAGTGTCTGACAGTCCCACGGTACAAACGAGACCTGGTTCAGAAACTAAAAATTTTGCGGCAAGAACTTTCCCAGCAACAGCCTCAGGCTGGCCATTGCCGCATTGAGGTTTCCAGGGAAGAGATTTTTGAGGTAAACTTGCAAGTCTTGTTTTAAAGTAGAGAAAAATTAATTCAGTGATGTACTCTGTTTTCCAAGTATATTTTGGGGGACTCATATCTCTTTAGAATGGGAGAATTTTCATTAATTTTTTTTTTTACTTGTGGGAATAAAGGCAATAATATTGGAGAGATTTAATACATAAGATAAACATTTAAATGCGATGAAGTGTGAGATGTTCTGATTGGGAGCAGCTTGGTCCTTGCAGTTGCAGATACTTATTTGTTAATGAATTTTAAAAGACCACAGATATTATCCATCCCTTATTTTCTAATTCTTCCAAGAGGTTAGGGACTCTTAAATCAAAAAATCATTACTGTTGGACTACTTCCTTAATTTATTGAAAATCTTCCTTTCTAGTATATCCTTTTATCTTTGGATTTATAGCTTTAATAGCAACTTCAAAGTTCTTACATAATAAATGGCAGAGGTCCAAGGCAGGGGTTTCCCTCTTATTAGAGTGTTCTGGGACAAAAGATGTTTGGGAACTTTATAATCCTTCTCCCAAAGGATGAACTTTTTTCTCTCAGGACCATTCTGACCTTGTTTGTAGTCAGTCATTTGTATTTTTAAAATAATAGAAAGTTGTCTGTTTAGTGAAGATCACATTAATGATGTTTTCATGTTCTTTGAAACTTTCTTTTTCTTACCTTTACTTTCTACTGGTGTCTGTGACAACTAACTTAAAAAAAAGTGGTAATTCTATCAGATTCTGTTTTTTAATGTGAGTGGAATCATTGCTATGGTTCATAGGACTTAAATATGGAGCTTTGCATTTAGTAGGCTTTTAATATATTTATCAAAGGAATTGGTTTCAGTAGTACAGTATTAAGCTGTATCCATTTTGTTGTCAGAAGTTCCATGAGGTTTCAAACCCTTGGAGCTTATCCATTGATTTGATTGTTGAACAAATTCTACCTTATTTAAATAAACATGTTTTGTAGGTGGAATGGAGGGAGAGTTTAAGTAACAGGTTAAAAGCACCTAGTAATAATAGTATATTAAACATTTATTTCAGGAATCATATCGACAAGTCATGAAAATGAGACCGAAAGATCTCTGGAAGCGATTAATGATAAAATTTCGTGGAGAAGAAGGGCTTGACTACGGAGGGGTTGCCAGGTAAAGCCTTGATCATCAGTAAATGACATATGGATCCTTATATTTACAAATTTAAGATACTCCCTGTGGTGTGACTTTCTCATTGATATTTATTTTCTAGCATAATATTCCCTCATGTTTGCAACAGAGGGTACCCTAGTAGATATATTCATAATTAGGTTAGGATAGTACTGCTACCAGAAGAGTGTTTGTGAACTCCCAAATGGATCATGTAGTCCAATGAGACTTTCTCTGAAAACTAGCTGCAACCCTATATGGACTGTTGGTAGGGTCTGCAGGCCCAATATTTTCTCCATTTCTCTCCTTCAGTACATGTTATTCCCTCTGCTTTACATTGTCAGTAACAGTCTTGAGATTTTAATGACGTATTCTAAACTGAATACTGTTTCCCTTTGCTTACACTGCCACGCTTTTTAACCTTGTTAAAGGAATGTTTGCGTCTGTAAGTATGTGTGTATATCATAAGTGGTCCTTAGAATGTTTCAATACAGAAGCTATAACGTTTCTGCTACATTCAAACATCAAGTATTTTTTTTTCCAGGTGTGAGAATTCACTTTATGTAAATGTAGCAGAAACATTATAGCTTCTGTATTAAAACATTTTAAGGACCGTCATGATAATTCTGCCTCCCCTAATCTAAATCCAGCCTAAATTAAATTTGTGTTTCCACCAAGTCCCATAATCGTTATTTGGCATTACTTGTTTTCACCTGTAGACATACTTTCATTCTGTGACCTTTTTACCTGCAAATGGATAGTTTCTTTAGTTTGGATTTTTAGCATTTATCACTTGTACATCATACTTAAGGCTTGATAGTTTCTGTGGAATGCTTATGATTTACTCATAAGTAGATTTTGAATGCTTGTTGGGAAAACTTGTTAATTATCTGCTGATGGAATCTAAATCCTATAATTATATGTATAGGCCAAATAAGTAGTTAGTTTTTTGTTGTTTATTTCTTAACCTCACTACTTTCGGGGTTTGGGCGGACTAAATGGGATGTGGCAGTGAACTGCTTTTCTGATCTTTATCCCATAGTAGAACCCAAAAGTAGAGTTTTGCTTTTATGCATGTTCTAAATACTTAGTAAAACAAAACAAAAGTTGGACTTCCTTTTAAAAAACACATACATGGGGCTTCCCTGGTGGAGCAGTGGTTGAGAGTCCGCCTGCCGATGCAGGGGACATGGATTCGTGCCCCAGTCCGGGAAGATCCCACATGCCGCGGAGCGGCTGGGCCCGTGAGCCATGGCCGCTGAGCCTGCGCGTCCGGAGCCTGTGCTTCGCAAGGGGAGAGGCCACAACAGTGAGAGGCCCGCTTACCGCAAAAAAAAAAAAAAATAATAAAATAAAATAAAAAGCACATACATGCATAAAAAACATACAGGACACATTAGGTGGGAAGGTTGCTTATGTGGAGACCTCACTTTTTCTTTTTAATCTCTACAGTTTTCAAGTACGGTGTTGGCCAAAAAGTTCGTTTGAACGAACTTCTTGGCCAACCCAATATTAAACGTAGTGATTTGATTTAGACTCCGTCAAATGATAGGACTTTGAAATATTTTCCTTTAACTACTTTAATAGTGTTTCACTGCATTTCCTAAAAATATATTATTCCATCTGTTTAATCCATAATATCAGAATATATCATTTATGTGCCTTTCCTAGCTGAGGAATGACAGGAGTTGAGACTAGAATGACATCTCCTTAAAGCCTAGACTAGTCATTTTATTTCAGTTTCACCAAGATGAATAACAAGTTGTCTTTCATACTTTGAAAAATATAAATGATTTAATAAGCTTAAGTTGATAGTACTGTTTATTATGAGGTTTTAAAAACACCGTTGTATGCTTGAAACCAAGCAGTGGTATGGAACACACCCAGAAAATGCAGGTTTGCCCTTGTGTTCCCACCTATACCAAATGCCTTGCAGTTTCTCACCACTTACATTTTTATCATGGTGTATTTTAGGGTTTACACAAAAAAGATAATGAAGATGGATAATGAAATTTTCTTACTAAAACAATATCAACAATAAAACATACCCTTGTCCGAAAGTAAGAGTAAATTAATGTTATATATCTGTATAAACTAGTATAAGTCTGCCATGATTGGAGAGGACCAGGGTGGTATAGATGGACCACATGGATGTTTTGAAATAATACCATATTCTTCCCTTTATTTTATACTTATTATGAATTACACATTTGTTTAGCAATTAAAAGTAACAGACCACTGGGCTGCAGCATCTAATGAGTAGTTGGTACTTCTGGATATTATCCTTAGATTCTCTGATGTTAAAATGTCATAAAATTACCCAAAATGGAGTGAGAAGTGACTTCAATAAAACAAGAATTTTCATTTGCTTTTGGGGAATGGTAGACTTTTCTAATGTGATTTTATGTAACTAGTTAGTGCTTTGTTTTATTAAAAACTTCTTGCTAACATGATTAATAGTGTATCTTAGTAAAGATGTATTCATTAACAAAAAATTCCTTTGGCATATCTTGTTTTTTAGGGAGTGGTTATATCTCTTGTCACATGAAATGTTGAATCCTTACTATGGCCTCTTCCAGTATTCAAGAGATGATATCTATACATTGCAGATCAATCCTGATTCTGCAGTTAATCCGGTATGATTGGTGGTTATAATGATACAAATTAAGTTATGACCTACAATGTTTTTTAATCTTTAAATGTCAGTGTAGTTTATGACATAGGATTACTGTCTTTGTCCAAGTCACATCCTTGGACTTGGCAAGTCCTCTTTTAGAAAATGTTCTCAAGTAAATGATCGTGGATATGTGCAACAGTTTGGGCACAGGGAGATTTACTGCATCACTCTTTGTAGTAGCCCCAAGTGGAAACAACATTGCTGTCCATTAAGAGGGGGTTGATTAAATTATGACATGAAGCAGAATGACATGGTTAAGAGCATAGACTCTGGAATTAGAAAGACATGAGTTCATATCCTTGTCCCATTACTAACTAGCTTTGTGACCTTCATTGACTTAAGCCTCAATTTTATCATTGCTTATAATAATAAATATAGTTTGGACCTGAGAGAGGGGTTGTGACAGTTAAATGAGACCCTGCACATTAAGTATTTAGCACAGTGCTATACATTATTAACCCTATTACATATTATTAAGCACTCAACAAGAGTTAGCAGCTGTTATTAATTTGTTTTTATATTATTTCTGTTATCTTTCCATACAAGGTTATATTATACAGCCACTAAAATGATGTTGTGGGATAATAGTTAATAACATGTAAAGATGGTATTTGTAATATATTAAGTGAAAAGAAGATTACAGAATAATAGTATGAAGCAAATTTTGGTAAACATGTATATGTGTAAACATTGAAAGGCTCTACAATACTGGTAGTGGTTATCTCTGGGTGTTAGACTATGGGCATTTTTTTTTCTTGTCTATATTTTCTAAATATTTTGTAGTGAACAGGTATTGCTTTTTAAAAAGAAAAAAACTATTTTTAAGATAAAAGGGAGGCTTAAAGATTAGCTTAAAGATTATTAAATAGAGAAGTAAAAGAAGTTGAAAATACAAACATCCAACTAATAAAACAGTATATCCTAAAAGACCAAATCTGTCTAAACATGGAAGGCATGTTAGATTCATTGCAGGGTATTCTTTATAAAGGGAAGATTTTTAGGTGAAGGTTCTGCTTGGAGAGCTCATTACTGCCACTGTAGTAGTGATAGCTCACGTTTGTTGAGCATTTACCATATGCCAGGTCCAGTGCCTTGGGCTTCATCACCTCATTTTACTACTCACAGAGCCCCTTTTTAGATACTATTATTACCGTCATTTTTCCAGGTATGGAAAATTAGTTCCACAGGGGCTAAGTAATTTGCCCAAGTATACATAGCTAGTAGCTGGCAGAATCAAGACTCTAGTCCAAGTTAGACATGAAATCTGTCCCCTTAAATCTATGATGTTTTGAAGTTCAGTTTCTGGTTAGGTCAAAGAAAGAGGGAGGTATAGAATTGAAAGCTTTTTTCCCATGACAGAGCCAGGATTATAAGGGGCTTAGCAGGAGATGGGAGGAGAGGAAGAGAACAGGATCTGCAGGTGATTTAATGAAGCTGCAGAGGGACTATAGTTTGGGCTTAATTTCTGAGGATAAACTTTACAGAATGACTACCCTTTGAGAGGGGCATTGGCTCTGCTGTAATATTTTATAGCAAAGTATAGTATCTATAGAGACTCTCCCTAATGATTGCTGGGCTTTGATAGGATAACCTATTCCATTTAAATAGTTATAAATTGGAGTATAAGTTATACTTACTTAAAAAATTACCATTGCTTAAATATTTAATTTTTATTAAAAAATTCCCTGGATAGTATCTACCTTGAGTATTTATGTAAACTCTTCTCAATTTCAGGAACATTTATCATACTTCCACTTCGTTGGACGAATAATGGGAATGGCTGTGTTTCATGGACATTATATTGATGGTGGTTTCACATTGCCTTTTTATAAACAGTTGCTTGGGAAGTCCATTACCTTGGATGACATGGAGTTAGTTGATCCAGATCTTCATAACAGTTTAGTGTGGATACTGTATGTATTGAGTCTTGTTCGTTATATTTAGAATCTGAGCTTTTAAAAAAGATATATGTTTCAAAATGGATGTACTTTTTTTGAAATATAAAAAATGATTTTTAAAAGTACTTACACATAATGATTTCCTCAACACGATGCAAGTTGTTTCCATCCTGCATGTTAGAATAAGATATTCCTGCTTAAATGGTGGCTGTTGAAAATATACTTTAAAAAGGGTATTTGTGGGGCTTCCCTGGTGGTGCAGTGATTGAGAGTCTGCCTGCCGATGCAGGGGACACGGGTTTGTGCCCCGGTCCAGGAAGATCCCACGTGCCGCGGAACGGCTAGGCCCATGAGCCATGGCCGCTGAGCCTGCGCGTCCGGAGCCTGTGCTCTGCAACGGGAGAGGCCACAACAGTGAGAGGCCCTCATACCGGAAAAAAAAAAAAAAAAAAAAAAAAAGAGGGTATTTGTAAGAATCAGTTCTGTTTTGGGGGGTGTCATTCGTTTGTGAAGATACACTGGCCATGGTTATTTTTACCAAGTACACGAGTAGCTTTCTCAGTGGGGATACTCAGGTGTTTAGTCACTTGGGTTACCCAGACTCAAGTAGGGCTTCTTACCTGAAAGCCAAACATTACTGAGTTTTCCCTGTGTAGACCCCAGCTTTCCAGGGCTTTCTCATTAGGAAGGAAAATGTTCCTGGTGTTTATGAAGGTTAAAGCTCTTTGACTTTTCTGCCCCAAAACTAGGAGGTATGGTGGCATAAGAACTAATAAAAGGAATCTAACCCTATGTTTGCATGTCATAAAACTACCTTAGTTTTGTCTCACCAATTAATACATCTACAATATCTGTATTTTAGATTTTCCAATGAAGTGTCTTTCCCTGTCTTCCCTTCCTAGTGAGAATGATATCACAGGTGTTTTGGACCATACCTTCTGTGTCGAACATAATGCCTATGGTGAAATTATTCAGCATGAACTTAAACCAAATGGCAAGAGTATCCCTGTTACTGAAGAAAATAAAAAAGAATATGTCAGGTAAACACTTCTGTGTTCTTAAGCTGGAGACTTGTTTTAATGTTCTAGAATGGTGGTACAGAAAAACATTTATGTGTTTAGGTAGTGTTACTTATTGCTACAAAATAGGCTTCTGCAGAATTTAGTGGCTTAGAAACAACCACCATTTTATTATTTCTCACAATCCCGTGGGTCAGAAATTTAGATCGAGGACAACAGGGACAGCACACTTCTCCTCCATGTGGTGTCAGCTGGGATGGAAATGTTAAGAAGGCCCCTTCACTCACATATCTGATGCCTCACCGAGGGTGGCTCGAATGGCTGTGGGCTAGCTGGAATGGACACTGGGTCTGGGGCTTAGTTCTCACTGTTGGCTGGGCTCTTTGGTTATCCCCATGTGGTATCAGAGGCCCCTCATTCTCACCATGGCCTCTCTCTCTAGCACAATAGCCAGACTTCTTATGGCGTGGCTGGTTTCCCAGAGCACAAAAGCAGTTGTTGGATCTTTTTAAGGCCTAAGCCTGGAACTGGCCAACATCACCTCTGCTGTATTCTTTTGGTTAAAGCGAGTCACATGCCAGCCCAGGTTTGGTGTGGAGGAGGGGCTGTACAAAGGCACACATACCAGGAAACACGGTTCGTGGCGTCACGTGTAGCGTAGCTACCACAGCTAGCTGTACAGAAGCACTTTTGTGCTGTATCACTAGGACTTATCCTATTTATAAATAAGCACATTGTGGATTTATATAAGAAATATATATATATTTCTTATAAAAGAAATACAAGGAAATGTTCTTTAAGTTTTATGAAACCACCTGTTGATTGAGGAATTTAGAAGTGTTGAGTTAGAGCATTTGGTTCATGGTATCTAAAGTTCTTCTAAACATTAAACTATGATAATCAAATTTAGGAGTTTGAACTTCACCATATATACATAGAAACATTCATGCTATATGTTTTTGTACAGAATATGTCCCCAGGTCTTATTGGCTAAAATTTTCTAGTTTATAGATGAGGCCCATCAGTCTCATAGATTGTGAATATTGGTATAGCTTTTTTGGAAAACAGTTTGATAACAGCTACCAAAATGAAAACACATATGCAGCTCCATTTTTTAGGAATCTATTCTTTGGAAACACATATCTGATTAAAGAAATATGAATAAGGATGTTTAAATACTACTTGTAAAAAAATTGAAAACTGCTAAAATGTTTTTAGAAAGAGAATGGATGATTAAATACATTAAACAGATTATTATGTGGATATTTAAAGAAAGATAGACTCTGCATAAACTGTCATTTAAAAGGCATAGAAGGAAAAAAGTCTGCATTGTTTTATACTCAGAAGATGTTCAGGAAGGCCACTTACCAAATAAAATGTTTGCCCAGGGTGAGGGAGTAGAGGTGACGGGCCTGGAAGTAGAGAGGGAAAAGAGGATAAAAAAGTGGACTTTCAGATTTTACTCTGTCTCCACATTTTTTTTTTTTTTTTTTTTTTAAGGCCGCACCGTGAGGCATGCGGGATCTTAGTTCCCTGACCAGGGATTGAACCCGTGTCCCCTGCAGTGGGAGCGCGGAGTGTTAACCACTGGACCACCAGGGAAGTCCCATTAATATTTGATTTTTTTAAATATAATTTTTCTTTTAATAACAAACATGTATTACATTTCTAATTTAAAAAAGAAGAATGAGGGACTTCCCCGGTGGTCCAGTGGTTGGGACTCTGCAGTTCCACTGCTGGGGGCGCAGGTTTGGGGTTCGATCCCTGGTCGGGGAACTAAGATCCCCCATGTTGTGCGACACAGCCAAAAAAATAAAAAATAAAAAAATAAAGAAGAATGAATGGGAATTTCCTGAATTTCAGTAGTGTCTCACTTCCAGGACCTAGTGTGGGCTGCTCACTTTCTAGGATTCAGTCACGTTTATAGCACACAGTAATTTTCCCTTACCAAATACAGTTTTGAGGGACTTTCCTGGTGGTGCAGTGGTTAAGAATCCGCCTGCCAATGCAGGGGACATGGGTTCGAGCCCTGGTCCAGGAAGATCCCACATGCCACGGAGCAACTAAGCCCACGTGCCACAACTACTGAGCCTGCACTCTAGGACCCATGAGCCGCAACTACTGAGCCCGCATGCTGCAACTACTGAAGCCTATGTGCCTAGAGCCCGTGCTCCGCAGCAAGAGAAGCCACTGCAATGAGAAGCCTGTGCACTGCAATGAAGAGTAGCCCCTGCTCGCCATAGCTAGAGAAAGCCTGCGCACAGCAAAGAAGACCCAACACAGCCAAAAATAAATAAATAGTTTACAAAAATAGTTTTGAAATTTTTAAAATGACAAAGAAAACCTTTTTACAGGTGTGTAGTTTTGCTGTCCCCTTAAACAAACAAAAAATGAGGTCCCCCAAAGGATATCATTAATATTAAGTAACTTATTTCTTAAAGTAGAGAACTATTTCTCCAAGTTTAGAAAAGGAAATACTGGCAAATTGGGAGTATGAGTAGTTCTGAGATTTGTGAGATGGAGAGCTTTTCCTGGGAAGATAGATTAAAAAAAAACAATTCATGTATAAATTATAAGTCCAAATCAAAGGCGTAAGTAGAGCTACACAAGAGATGTAGTTTAGTGTACATTTGTTGCTAAAATTACATCTTCCAGGGCTTTTAAAGCTTATAGGGAAAAATGAGTATTTAGTCAAAAAGTGCTTCTTGCTATTGGCTTTTACTGTTTCTTCTCATTTTGGATATGGGGATTCTCTTTACCTCTTCTTCCCCCATATACAACCCACAAAATATAAAGAAAACACCCTACACATTCAGATTATATTTTCAAGTGAAACCAGAAAAATAGTCATTTTGGGTTGAATGGGTTTTTCTGGTTATCAGCGTGCATGCCAGAAGTTGAGAAAGACATTTCATTCTCATTTTAACTTCAGACTCATCTACTCTCTAGCCAACTTCCAGTTTAATAGGACTTTTTCTGATGTGAAGAGTTGCTGTATTTATGCTGCTTTTGTTGGTGGAAGGTTACCGCTTTTTAATTTATGGTGAACTGCCTCACAGCTCAGGATCCATCTATACTTTCAGTAACCTGAGATTCTTTTAGATTTTAGACTAAATTCTTAATGCTAGATGCTTGTAAAGTGCAACGTTGCTAAAGTACTAGAGATTCATAATAATTACCAAACCTGAATATATTTGATCATATGAAACCCCTGTCCGATGTTTCCAGACTCTATGTGAACTGGAGATTTTTACGAGGAATTGAGGCACAATTCCTGGCCCTGCAGAAAGGATTTAATGAAGTAATTCCACAGCATCTGCTGAAGACATTTGATGAGAAGGAGTTAGAGGTCAGTGTATTAATGTCATGACATCATCTAGTATAACAAAGAAAGTTAGGGAATTTTCTGTTACTTAGTTTTAGAGGAAAGCTGTATTTCTGGTGCTTTTGAAGTTTTATGATGTGATGCTGTGAGAATTCTAATTCACAGGAAAAGTCTTTCCTGCTTTTGGAAAAGCCTTTCATGTTTTGGAAATTTTACAAGTAGCCAGTCTCTCTTATATTGTGACTATTTTTAATTTATTTTTCCATATTTTCCGTTCATGCGTTTAATAGATTTCGTGTCTTCTGTGTACGTTCTTCCAGTGTTGTTTTCTATTCCCTAGTTAAGTGGGTATTGATTTAGTTAAATAAAACTTTATTAATTGGTCTCCACCATATTGACATTTATCTGGAATAAAAGCCTAGGCTTAATTGGATTTACATTAAGCTTTGTAAGAAAGCAGTTGAGGGGCTTCCCTGGTGGCGCAGTGGTTGAGAGTACGCCTGTCGATGCAGGGGATGTGTGTTCGTGCCCCGGTTGGGGAAGATCCCACATGCCGCGGAGTGGCTGGACCCATGAGCCATGGCCGCTGAGCCTGCGCGGCCGGAGCCTGTGCTCCGCGACGGGAGAGGCCACAACAGTGAGAGGCCCGCGTACCGCAAAAAAAAAAAAAAAAAAAAGCAGTTGATAGACAAAAACGTAGAGGAAATAATTGAAACACTTAGGTTAAACTCTGTCTCAGCAACATCAGTCTCCTTGGAAACATTCGTTACTAATAGTAACTATAATAAACAGTTAACCATTTTTTATTCTAAAACTAGTCCTTAAAGCACCATAGGGTTGGTGTTATAATTAAGACCTTTAACAAATACATCTCAGTTTCTACTGAACTACTTTGAAAAAACAATGAGGTTTTATTCTACCTGAGGTTCCAAATTTAATTAGTGGCTAGGGATAGCATAAATATTTAAAGTCGATACATAATTTAAAACATGATTTTATTCATTAACTTCAGCATCCTTTCTAACTAAATCTGTTAACAGACCTGTTAGCAAACAAGTCTAAAAAGATTGGCTTGACTTACTACCATCCCCATTCCTTTTTTGATTGGACTATTCTGTAGTGAAATGACCAGAAGGAAGTAGTCAGAAGGTGGAAGAAAACATAGCAGGAATGGCAGTAAAGTTGAAATACGATGCATTTTTATCTGTTCATACAATGAATAAGGAATTTGGCTTTAAAACTACCACTCCTCTAAAGAAAAGAATTTAGGGAGGTACCGTCTGTGGTCATGGGTACTTCTGTAACCCTGCTCGGACACCTACTACCTGTTAGTGTGGCAGTGGCCAGTCATTTTTTCAGACGCTACAGAAGCTTTGTTGCAGGTTTTATTCAGTAACGTTAGGGTTTGTTATATACTTTGTACTGCTAATGAAGTTAGGCTTTTTACAAAAGTATATGTATATAATTTATTTTAGTGTTAGACTAGGTTAATATAATTGTGAAATATAGGATTTGCAGGTTACCTTATGTTTTACACTACACTATCATAATTGAGTGTTATAAACACATCAGTAGGATGAGTCAGTCTTGGACCCTAGGGAGGTGTGAGTATTAATAATATCAAAGTGATTTTGATATACCTCGTCTATACTGAGCCTGCATCAGGATGCCAAGCAGAGCTCTATTATCAATGCATTCATATATTTCATACTTTGGTCCAACTTTAAGCAGATTGTATCACTTATTCAACACAACTTCTTGAGTTCCTGTGCAGTGTTGGTTGCTTTCGCAGGATGTAACGAAACAGATGTTACTGCCATATTACAGCAGAGGAGACTGTGGCCAAGGGAAGTGAACTGAACTGCCCAGAATCCCAAAGCTAATAAGTGTTGAAACCTGAATAATAGATGCAAGTCTTAAGGGAGGCACATATAAACTGTATTTACTCTGAGTCTAGTTTCTGTCCATTAAAAATTTTTTTAGAATTCTGTGAAGTTATGGAACTTTTCATCTTATGTCCATCACAGTGGTGGTTCTCAGATCCTGGGTAGGGAGCCTGCAGTGACTAGGTACTCATGGAACTTTAAAAAAAATACGGATCCTAATTCACCCAGATTCACAGAATTAAAATCTCTGAGCATAGGACCTAGTGTATACATTTTGAAAAACTTTCCAGATGGTTCTCATGTCTACCCTCAATTAAGAACACCATATGAAAGCCAACTCTGCAAATCTAAAGTTCTATTTTAAGGAATTTTTGGCTTAGGTTGGGTTTCCATTGGCTCATTATTTGTGCAATATTTTAACAGCTCATTATTTGTGGACTTGGAAAGATAGATGTTAATGACTGGAAGGTAAACACCCGGTTAAAACACTGTACACCAGACAGCAATGTTGTCAAGTGGTTTTGGAAGGCTGTGGAGTTTTTTGATGAAGAACGACGAGCACGGTTACTTCAGTTTGTGACAGGCTCATCCCGAGTGCCTCTGCAGGGCTTCAAAGCTTTACAAGGTAAGAAAGCCAGAGGGATAGACGATGTGGCATCTAATAATTGGGGGCAGGGGGTCAATATTTGGTGTACATAGACGGTGTACAAACATGTGCTTACATACAGATTCTCTTTTCACTCTAGTTCTTATCTGTAACTCTCATGTCTTGATACCTTCTTCTCTTTCCTTTCCTTTGTTCCCTCCCAAGAGCATTTTCTGCTGGGTTCTCTGTGATTGTACTGAGTGCTGCATGTTAGAGACCATATGTGTCGATGCTCTGCCTTTTCTTTTCTGGTCTCCTTGCTTTTAAATTCTGTTGCACATTCCCGTAGGGGAAGTCTGTCTGCTTCCATGTTCACATCTCAGCCTGGCAAACATTTACCCACTTGGGATGCCTCTCCCCCCTACTTTTTTATTCTTTTAACAGAAAGAGGCAGCATGAGTCATGGAAGTCATTTGTTTGGTCAGAGCACTTTAATTAATGCATGGCATCAGACCATTTTACAGCCGTATTCCGTTTTTAAGAATTGTTGTCCATGGAATAGCTGTTTAATTTTGGGAGGAGTTGGTATATTGCTCATGATCGTGGTGCCTCACTGGGTGGCAGTTGCTTCCTTTACCTCTGAAGCTCTTTATTTTCACAACTGCTACTGCTGGTGATGACTGAGGGTGTACGAAGCAAGACTGGTACATAATTCAACAGTGTTGCCTACAGTCCAAATATCAAAAATCCACTGGGAAAGCATGCTGTAGTCATGCTTGCACTCTCTACTTGGAGAACTCATCATTGTCAGACTACCCAGATGAATAAAGTGAAGTTGTATTTCTACAGACTTCTGTATGGGGTGCCTTATGTTACCTGAAATTTATTCCATAGACTGCTCATCTTTCGCTCTCAGTGAAGTTTGAGTTGTGAAACTTAAATTTGCATTAGGTTGTCATCTTTTTGAATGTGTATATATGTATTGGATCTTGGATCTGCCCATTTACTTCTTTTTGGGGGACACTGATTTTCTGTAGAAGATAGAAGTTGGCAAAGGATTTCAATCCTGAACTTTTTCTCAAATTGAAATGCTAGCAGATTAAGGAATCCAGCCTTATCCAAGGTCAATTCTGGCTTTTAAAACCCAGACTGTTTTCCTGCTGCCCTTTGGCAGCTTATATGGAGTCACTAGTATCCTCCTATCCCCTCAACCCTGTGGTTTACATACCAGTTTTATCCTGAGATTCTGGAGACTAATATGTGCACCCACAGTGGTCTGACCCTCATTTGCTTCCTTTGCAGGTGCTGCAGGCCCACGACTCTTTACCATACACCAGATTGATGCCTGCACTAACAACCTGCCAAAAGCCCACACTTGGTAAGTTATTTCTGTAGCTTTTTTCCCTCATTCCATGTATGTAGCTGTTAGTTCCAAACAGATGTGACATTTCGTTTGTTGTTCTTATTACTAAATGGACCCTTAAAAGAGTTGCTTATCATTCCTTTTAAGTGAATTAAGATTATCCAGAAATTGATAGGAAAACCCCAAAGCAATAATCTCTACTTGAGAGAAATATAACCTTTTTCTTGTCATTTTCTATGTGACACAAAGAGTAATGTGGCTGTATTAGGGTAAACGAATTAGTATACACTTGCTAGGTCAGTTGAACTGTTTTGAATGAACTGTGTAAAATCTGATTTGCTTAATTACAGCTTCAATCGAATAGACATTCCGCCCTATGAAAGCTATGAAAAGTTATATGAAAAGCTGCTAACAGCCATTGAAGAAACATGTGGATTTGCTGTGGAATGACAACTTCAAGGATTTACCCAGGACTCTATTTATACCCTGACAGCCTCCTTTCAGCAGAGTTTCAAGGAACGCTGACATACAGGAAAATGCACCCCCCTTTTTAAAAAAAATTTTAGGATACTGTGAGGGGAAAGGACAATTCTGAAATTCCTTTTCAAGGAAAAAAAGGTCTTTATGCTTTGCCATGAGGCCACATTCAGCTGCTATTTAAAATTAATACCTTGAACCTAAAGAATGCTGACTTTTCCTACATTTCCAGAGTTAGGCAGTATTCTACACTTAAAGACTACTACTATTTTTATAAAAGGTAATCTATTCAAATCGCTTCACAGATTTCAACTCTATCAAACATCAAGACAACTTCAGCAGTCGGTACAAGTCACATTTCATTTTGGTTGAATACATGATTTTGAACAGCTCCTGTACTTGCTCTTTGTAAAAAAATAAAATAAAATTATTTTGAATTATTCTAACTTTGTAAACAATTGGCTATAAAAGAATCTTTAAAAAGTTAAGCCATTTACATGTTTAATTACATTTTTCTATAGCAAAGCATTATATTTTAAAAGCATTATATGTTTCAACCTAGCCTAAGTGAGTCTTTTTTTATATTTTTCAAGCATGAATTCCATGGAATACAGCTATATAATTTTGGTTGTCAAATTCTTAATGCAACCATTTAGTCTGAACTTAGTAGCTTATTTGCTACAATAAGATGCATTCAGGGGCTCCCTGTTTTTAAGAGACTTTAAAAAAAATCTTAATTTTTTATCTTGAATGAATATGATCGGGTATTTTGCATTTACTTTGCATCTTAAATGGAAATACTGCATTTTTATAGCTACTCAGATCATGTGGATGGGATCGGATTTTCATTCTTTTATTGGGTCAGCTTATCTTTGAGATATATATACTATTTCTGTAAACCAAAGTCTCCTGTGACAAGTGCACCTAACTTATATTACGTTTTAATTATGGTAAGTTTCTATCAAGTAAACCATCCTGAATCTCTGTTTAGCTCCTCATATTTTAATCAGATAAAATTACGAAAAGGAAAAATTTTGCTCTAAAGATTCTTTAGCAAGCTTAGAAAACCCTGCTTTTACCTAAAATGAAGTGGGGTGGTGGGGCAGGGATGTGATTACTAACAAGTGGTTCTGACTCTATCACAGACAATACTTTCCGTCTGAAGAGTGATTTTGGAGGTAAGGGAATCCCAGTTCGCTTGGTGGTGAAGATCAGCATTTGATTTTGAAATATCCATATTTAGCTTTCAAGGTGTGTGGCATGTTGCATGACCCAGAAGGCAACCACAGTTCTGGAGTGAGAGATTGGAAAAATCTGAAATCATGGGTGGATTTTTAAATTCAAATATCAGAAATCTGCACTATTTTTTTTTTTTACATTGTTGTGAAATCAAGAATAGCAATTTTGATGAGATAGCTTTGTTTAAATTTTGCAGCTTAATTATCAAGTGAATAAGCCCCTTGTGTTCTTTGGTTTGGTGGATTGGTTTTCAGTCTGTGTTCTTGGAGCCAAGGGGCTCCTCAGAGGTGCCTCAGAAGTAATGGTTAAGAGAGGAGGGACAAAGAAAGAGGGAGAAGAAACGTAGCTGGTACTTGAGCAGGGGCCTCCAACTCCCCACCCCTCTTTACCCAGAGCAGCTCCGATTTTTCTCTTTTATATACATTGGAATTCCACGTAAGCTTTCATGGGGGCTAGGAGGGGTGGGGGGATGGGTAGAATAAAAGAGGTGGAAAATTTGCTGCTTAAAAAAAGTTGAGAACTACTCCTGTCGTTTCTAAGTATTTAAATTTATTTCATTAAGCCAAATTTGACAGCCATACAAGCTGGTTACAGTCATAACTGTGTAGTGGCGATGTGCTTATGCTGACCTTTTTCTTCCCACTTTGTTTTCCTATTGCATTCTTAGTAGTACCGAAGAACATCTTAAAACATACTGTTAGATCATCAGCAGTTTTCAGCTTTCACGATAGTACCTTATTGGTTGCAGGTCCATCTCTCTCATATATGAAAGCACTAGCGCAGTGTAACTGTGCCTATTATAATCTTTCAGTAATAGTAAGTACATGATGAACACTTTAGAGAAATCATAACTGACGGATGCAGTAATAATGAAATGCTACTCTCATACTAATGTACAATATAGAGCAGGCAAATACCATCGCTTTTTGAGTGCCTTCTTAATTTTATAATAATGACTTAATAGAGCTTTAAAAGAAATAAATTACCCTCCCTTACAGTCTATGGTATCACCAACATAATTTATAAGAACAGGATGATTTAGGTTTCATTTTCAAAGTTATGTTACCTGATCACTTCCAAATAGGTGCTAAGCAAACAAAACGTGCCAATGTATCATTGAACCTTGGACTTGCACCTCATGTGTAATGTGAATATTTATTTCCACATGTCCCTCTCAGCTGGGTTTTTTCTAATCCTTCCTCTAGTTTTATTTCAGATTTGTGATATCATGTTTCCATACATTGCCTTTCTATCATGAATACTTATGAACAGTGGTTACTTTGTAGAGCTCATATGCAATACAGAGGTGAGTTTTGTTTCTGAGGGTCTTACTTCTTTGGTGTAAAGAGTTTTTAAATAGTGCTGTGTATAGTGTACATTTTGTTTTGCACATAGTTTGTTGCCCTGAATGGGTTTTGTTTTTACCAAGTCTTTTATTTTTTCCTTGTAATTACACTGCAGAGCACAAGTTTCCTTTCTTTTAAATACAAGGTAGTTTGCTTTATTTTACAACACTAAGTCTGCTTGAACTTCGGGTGCATCGAGCTGATTGCATTGATGGGAGTTAAGAGATTGTTCCAGACATCTTTACAGTTTGACAGAGCAGCTCCTTCTGCTTCTGCCTTTAGGCTGCAGCACAGTCAATGGGTGCGTTTGTAGTATTTAATGTACTTGCGTTAGGATGATGATTGTACCAAATGCTGAGTTGTTTTGTTTCTAGATGTAATTAGTTCACTTAATGTAATATTCTTCCTTCTCTCAAACTGACTTTAAAAACAAAGTTTTATCATTTTCATTGTATTTATTACAGAGTGTTTTAGCTTTGATATTCTTTGTATTTTCACTCAGTTGTTACATGAGCTTTATCAATAACATCTGTATAAATGGTTTTTAAGAATTAACTATGTATGTGCCCATGCCGAAGTTGAGCAATAAAATGAATGCTGTTTGCACTGTCACAGCATCAAAGTTTTTAAAGAATATTGAGTTTATAATGAATTGTTTTGAAGAAATTTGATTGGGTCTATGAAGAGTGACAGCATACGAGCCATAAAATGTGAAGTTTAAGATTCATGGGCCTTCCTTAGTTGATGCCTTTGTCACGTGGTAGAGCCTCAGAGGGCTCAGGACCCCCTTTCTGTCTCCAGGTTGAGCAGGGAAGGTGCTTGTTTTCTCCTGCCATGGCACATCCTTAGGTTGGCAGTGGCTCTTGGTGGGCAATGGCCTGTAACAACTGTCACAGGCTCTGGAGGGCAGAGCTATGACTGGGGCCTCATTTGCTACCTTGGTGTTGAGCAGTAGAATCCTCAAAATGAAACGCAGAAGTCAGTTATATTTTTCCAAGAAGCCATGACTTCTTGGGTCATGATTCACAATTCTATAAATATAGTGGATTAAAGTCCAGCTAAATATGTGGGTGGAAAAAGAACTGGATACGATGTTTTTTCATCAAGAATAGTCCATGTAAGTCTCTCCACAGCATAGGCCATACAGAAAGGAATGTCTGGGAGATGCAGTGGAAGCAGTGGTGTATTAAAGTTCCAAAAGTAGGCATGGGGTCCATTTTTTACATCCTTTTGCAATGTATTTTTTTGCTTTGCCTCCCATTGCCAGTTTACAATTGGTTGTGATCTAAAATTTATAAATTTTTAGTACATTAAAGATTTAGTATTATCACCTATAAATTACCCAGAAGTTTGAGCAATATGTGACATTTTTCTGCTCTGTGGTGACCTGAAAGATTTGTCCTTTCATTATAATGAAGGTTAACCTTTGCACCCACTGCATTTATTTGTACTTTATATCCCAAATGCTTATTGTAGTATACGCATAGCAGAACTGCGGTAATTATACAGAAAAAGGGTTAAATCCCTATGTTAATATTCTTAGAAAACTAGACAGATCAGATTTTTTAAAGATATATTTCATTAAAAGGTATGTGCCCTAAATGTGACTTGTTCTTTGTCCACTCAGCAAATATCTGCTGTGCTCCTACTATGTGTCCGGCTCTGTACTAGCTTTAGGGATTAGCTTTAGATGGTTGTTAAAAAACTGAACTTCCAAACTAGTGCTTCTAGCGTATCTCGGTAGACGCTGAAGTGCAAACTGAGGTACTCAGAACTCAGTTTGTGTATAGCAAAGAAGTTGGTCATGACAGGAGCACAGGATTAAATACCTCACCTAAGCAAGGCTTCACATCCCAGACTTGGTTTTTAAAACAGCTGGTTTGTTCCCCCATCCCCCTTTCCCCATGACATCTCAGATCCTAGCATACCTTTTGTGGATATTTGGGCTGGTTTGATCTAGGTTATCAAAATAGTCTGAGCTGTAAACCCCACTTCTCTCTTACAGTGTTTTGTAAGCAAAGGAGGTGGAGAGGCAACTGTAGCAGCCTGTGGGGTGGGTAAGCGATCCATCCAAGATTTTCCTCCTGCTGACTTAAGTGTTTATGAAGTCTTTTGATTTTCAGCCCAGGAAAGTAAAGATGGAGAGCACACCACACTCAACCTTTGAGACCACTCACTCCTCCCAAAGACGATGCTGGCATGGCAAGAAGGTGGAGAACCATCGACACCAGAAGGACAAAGTTTTGCTTTTTAACTGAGGTATGACTGACATACCACATTATATAAGTTTCAGGTATACACCATAATGATTTGATATTTGTGAAATGATCACAATTAGTCTAACATCCATCACCACACAGTCATAAAATTTTCTTTTCCTTGTGATGAGAACTTTTAAGATCTGTCTTAGCAACTTTCAAATATGCAATACATTGTTAGCTGTACTCATCGTGCTGTACATTACATCCCTATGACCTATTTTATAATTGAAAGTTTATACCTTTTGGCCTCCCTTCACCCATTTTGCCCATTCACCATCTCTGACAACCACCAGT